TAGACAAGAATTACATGTAATTATGTGTGTCTCATGTACCCACTTCTCCATATCTTAATGGATTAGACAAGAATTACATGTAATTATGTGTGTCTCATGTACCCACTTCTCCATATCTTCAGGATTTAGACAAGAATTACATGTAATTATGTGTGTCTCATGTACCAACTTCTCCATATCTTAATGGATTAGACAAGAATTACATGTAATTATGTGTGTCTCATGTACCCACTTCTCCATATCTTAATGGATTAGACAAGAATTACATGTAATTATGTGTGTCTCATGTACCCACTTCTCCATATCTTCAGGATTTAGACAAGAATTACATGTAATTATGTGTGACTCACGTACCCACTTCTCCATATCTTCAGGATTTAGACAAGAATTACATGTAATTATGTGTGTCTCATGTACCCACTTCTCCATATCTTCAGGATTTAGACAAGAATTACATGTAATTATGTGTGTCTCAGGTACCCACTTCTCCATATCTTCAGGATTAGACAGGAATTACATGTAATTATGTGTGTCTCATGTACCTACTTCTCCATATCTTAATGGATTAGACAAGAATTACATGTAATTATGTGTGTTTCATGTACCCATTTCTCCATATCTTAATGGATTAGACAAGAATTACATGTAATTATGTGTGTCTCATGTACCTACTTCTCCATATCTTCAGGATTAGACAGGAATTACATGTAATTATGTGTGTCTCATGTACCCATTTCTCCATATCTTCAGGATTTAGACGAGAATTACATGTAATTATGTGTGTCTCGTGTACCCACTTCTCCATATCTTCAGGATTTAGACAGGAATTACATGTAATTATGTGTGACTCACGTACCCACTTCTCCACATCTTAATGGATTAGACAAGAATTACATGTAATTATGTGTGTCTCATGTACCCACTTCTCCATATCTTCAGGATTTAGACAAGAATTACATGTAATTATGTGTGTCTCACGTACCTACTTCTCCATATCTTAATGGATTAGACAAGAATTACATGTAATTATGTGTGTCTCATGTACCCACTTCTCCATATCTTCAGGATTACACAAGAATTACATGTAATTATGTGTCTCTCACACCCACTTCTCCACATCTTCAGGATTTAGACAAGAATTACATGTAATTATGTGTGTCACATATACCTATTTCTCCATATCTTCAGGATTAGACAGGAATTACATGTAATTATGTGTGTCACATGTACCTACTTCTCCATATCTTAAGGATTAGACAGGAATTACATGCAATTATGTGTGACTCACGTACCCACTTCTCCATATCTTCAGGATTTAGACAAGAATTACATGTAATTATGTGTGTCTCATGTACCCACTTCTCCATATCTTAATGGATTAGACAAGAATTACATGTAATTATGTGTGTCTCATGTACCCACTTCTCCACATCTTAATGGATTAGACAAGAATTACATGTAATTATGTGTCTCATGTACCCACTTCTCCATATCTTCAGGATTTAGACAAGAATTACATGTAATTATGTGTGTCACATGTACCCATTTTTTTATATCTTCAGGATTAAACAAATATGTGTATAGAGTTTAAACTGAAATCTTTAAAATGGCACAAATAATTAGCAAATTCAGGATCTGAATTATGTGTTCAGATGGCCATACATAGATATAATATACATTCCAAACCTGAATATGACAGTATTCCCTGTTATATTTGGGGAGAAATAAAATAGAGCTACTGAATTTATTTAAAATAGCAAAACAGAAAACTGCAGGTGATAATTCAGAGTATGACATGCATGTTGGTATGATCACGTACTATAGAAGGGTGATTTCAACCTCACCTCTTGGACTATAAATACAGACACATGTACTGTAGATGGGTGACTTAAACCTCTTGGACCATAAATACAGACACATACACTGTAGATGGGTGACTTAAACCTCTTGGACCATAAATACAGACACATGTACTGTAGATGGGTGACTTAAACCTCTTGGACCATAAATACAGACACATGTACTGTAGATGGGTGACTTCAACCTCTTGGACCATAAATACAGACACATGTACTGTAGATGGGTGACATAAACCTCTTGGACTATAAATACAGACACATGTACTGTAGATGGGTGACTTAAACCTCTTGGACTATAAATACAGACACATGTACTGTAGATGGGACACCTTCTAACATAACACCTCTTGGACTTAAATACAGACACATGTACTGTAGCTACCATAAACAGGGCATTTAACTTAAACCTAATCAGGGCATTTAACACAGACACATGACTAATCAGGGCATTTAACACAGACACAGACTAATCAGGGCATTTAACACAGACACCGACTAACAGGGCATTTAACACAGACACAGACTAATCAGGGCATTTAACACAGACACAGACTAATCAGGGCATTTAACACAGAACAGACTAATCAGGGCATTTAACACAGACACAGACTAATCAGGGCATTTAACACAGACACAGACTAATCAGGGCATTTAACACAGACACAGACTAATCAGGGCATTTAACACAGACACCGACTAATCAGGGCATTTAACACAGACACAGACTAATCAGGGCATTTAACACAGACACAGACTAATCAGGGCATTTAACACAGACACAGACTAATCAGGGCATTTAACACAGACACCGACTAATCAGGGCATTTAACACAGACACAGACTAATCAGGGCATTTAACACAGACACAGACTAATCAGGGCATTTAACACAGACACAGACTAATCAGGGCATTTAACACAGACACAGACTAATCAGGGCATTTAACACAGACACAGACTAATCAGGGCATTTAACACAGAACAGACATCAGGGCATAACACAGACAAATTAATCAGGGTAAGGGTATTAACACAGACACAGACTAATCAGGGAATTTAACACAGACATAACACAGACATCAATCAGGGCATTTAACACAGACACAGACTAACAGGGTATTAAACACAGGACTATCAGGGCATAACACAGACATCAGGGCATTAATCAGGGCATTTAACACAGACACAGACTAATCATGGCATTTAACACAACACAGACACAGTATTTAACACAGACATAAATTAATCAGGGTATTTAACACAGACATAAATTAATCAGGGTATTTAACACAGACACAGAAAAATCAGGGTATTTAACACAGACACAGACTAATCAGGGCATTTAACACAGACACAGACTAATCAGGGCATTTAACACAGACACAGACTAATCAGGGCATTTAACACAGACACAGACTAATCAGGGCATTTAACACAGACACAGACTAATCAGGGCATTTAACACAGACACCGACTAATCAGGGCATTTAACACAGACACAGACTAATCAGGGCATTTAACACAGACACAGACTAATCAGGGCATTAATCAGGGCATTTAACACAGACACAGACTAATCAGGGCATTTAACACAGACACAGACTAATCAGGGCATTTAACACAGACACAGACTAATCAGGGCATTTAACACAGACACAGACTAATCAGGGCATTTAACACAGACACAGACTAATCAGGGCATTTAACACAGACACCGACTAATCAGGGCATTTAACACAGACACCGACTAATCAGGGCATTTAACACAGACACAGACTAATCAGGGCATTTAACACAGACACAGATTAATCAGGGCATTTAACAAAGACACAGACTAATCAGGGTATTAAACACAGACACAGACTAATCAGGGCATTTAACACAGACACAGACTAATCAGGGCATTTTACACAGACACCGACTAATCAGGGCATTTAACACAGACACAGACTAAACAGGGCATTTAACACAGACACAGACTAATCAGGGCATTTAACACAGACACAGACTAATCAGGGTATTAAACACAGACACTGACTAATCAGGGCATTTAACACAGACACAGACTAATCAGGGCATTTAACACAGACACAGACTAATCAGGGCATTTAACACAGACACAGACTAATCATGGCATTTAACACAGACACAGACTAATCAGGGTATTAAACACATACATAAATTAATCAGGGTAGTTAACACAGACACAGACTAATCAGGGTATTTAACACAGACATAAATCAATCAGGGTAGTTAACACAGACAGACTAATCAGGGTATATAACACAGACATAAATTAATCAGGGTATTTAACACAGACACAGAAAAATCAGGGTATTTAACACAGACATAAATTAATCAGGGTATTTAACACAGACATAAATTAATCAGGGTATTTAACACAGACACAGAAAAATCAGGGTATTTAACACAGACATAAATTAATCAGGGTAGTTAACACAGACAGACTAATCAGGGTATTTATCACAGACACAGATTAATCAGGGTATTTAACACAGACACAGAATAATCAGGGTATTTAACACAGACATAAATCAATCAGGATATCTAACACAGACACAGAATAATCAGGGTATTTAACACAGACATAAATTAATCAGGGTATTTAACACAGACATAAATTAATCAGGGTATTTAACACAGACATAAATTAATCAGGGTATTTAACACAGACACAGAATAATCAGGGTATTTAACACAGACACAGAATAATCAGGGTATTTAACACAGACATAAATCAATCAGGGTAGTTAACACAGACACAGACTAATCAGGGTATTTATCACAGACACAGATTAATAAGGGTATTTAACACAGACATAATTTAATCAGGATATCGAACACAGACACAGACAAATCAGGGTATTTGATACAGACACAGATTACACAGTGTACTTGATGCTGACACAGAATAAACAGATTATTTTTATACAAACACTGTCAGACCCAACAGGGTATTTGATTTTAGCACAACACTCCACAGGGTGATTGATACTGGCACAGACTAAATCACGGTATCTGATAATGTTAATAAACTGGGTATTTGATATTGAGACAGATACCAGCACAGACTACACAGGATATCTGATGCTGACACTGACTTAACAGATATCATACATACTGGTGGGGAGACAGTCAGTAACATTGGTCGAAGACATCCCAGCAGTAAATTGGTTGCCTTGGCATTCTATACAAGATTTCTGACCCTCCTGGTCCTGGTAGAAGTTAGCAGGGCATGGTTGACACACTGGCCCGTATCCAGTTGAGGAGAAGTAGCCACTAGGACATTTAGCTAAAACAAGAAATGGCATTAAAAATCATTCAAGTTGGAAAAAAACATGTGATTTTACACTGCAAGATTCATACTTTTTTCTTAATTGAACACTATATCAAACACACACTGACTGAATCTTGTTTTACCCACACAATCAATCCTGAATTACCCACACATTAACTGAACCTTGTATTACCCATACAGTGAACCCTGAATTACCCATACAATGTACCCTGAATTACCCACACATTAACTGAACCTTGTATTACCCACAAAATCAACCCTGAATTACCCACACATTAACTGAACCTTGTATTACCCATACAATGAACCCTGAATTACCCATACAATGACTAAACATTGTATTACCCACACAATGAACCCTGAATTACCCATACAATGACTAAACATTGTATTACCCACACAATGAATTCTGAATTACCCATACAATGACTAAACATTGTATTACCCACACAATGAACCCTGAATTACCCAAACAATGACAGAACCTTGTATTACCCACACAATGAACATAGTATCACATACACATTGACATGACCTTGTATTACCCACACAATGAACATTGTATCACACACACATTGACTGAACCTTGTATTACCCACACAATGAACATTGTATCACACACACATTGACTGAACCTTGTATTACCCACACAATGAACATTGTATCACACACACATTGACTGAACCTTGTATTACCCACACAATGAACATTGTATCACACACACATTGACAGAACCTTGTATTACCCACACAATGAACATTGTATCACACACACAATGACAGAACCTTGTATTACACACACAATGAACATTGTATCACACACACATTGACTGAACATTGTATTACCCACACAATGAACATTGTATCACACACACATTGACTGAACCTTGTATTACCCACACAATGAACATTGTATCACACACACATTGACTGAACCTTGTATTACCCACACAATGAACATTGTATCACACACACATTGACTGAACATTGTATTACCCACACAATGAACATTGTATCACACACACATTGACAGAACCTTGTATTACCCACACAATGAACATTGTATCACACACACATTGACAGAACCTTGTATTACCCACACAATGAACATTGTATCACACACACATTGACAGAACCTTGTATTACCCACACAATGAACATTGTATCACACACACAATGACAGAACCTTGTATTACACACACAATGAACATTGTATCACACACACATTGACTGAACATTGTATTACCCACACAATGAACATTGTATCACACACACATTGACTGAACCTTGTATTACCCACACAATGAACATTGTATCACACACACATTGACTGAACCTTGTATTACCCACACAATGAACATTGTATCACACACACATTGACTGAACATTGTATTACCCACACAATGAACATTGTATCACACACACATTGACAGAACCTTGTATTACCCACACAATGAACATTGTATCACACACACATTGACAGAACCTTGTATTACCCACACAATGACAGAACCTTGTATTACCCACACAATGAACATTGTATCACACACACATTGACTGAACCTTGTATTACCCACACAATGAACATTGTATCACACACACATTGACAGAACCTTGTATTACCCACACAATGACAGAACCTTGTATTACCCACACAATGAACATTGTATCACACACACATTGACTGAACCTTGTATTACCACACAATGACAGAACCTTGTATTACCCACACAATGAACATTGTATCACACACACATTGACTGAACCTTGTATTACCCACACAATGAACATTGTATCATTTATGAAACCCCAACTTTACCTACACATTGAGAGAACCCTGTATAACCAATCACACATTGACTGAATCCTGTATTACCCTCACCCAAACTTGGAATCACCCACATTGAGCCTGTATCCCCACACAGAGGATCTTTTATAACTTACGTATACAATCGCTCTCAAATGTTGCTCCTGTACCAATTGTTTGTTTATCTTGTCCACAGGATGTGCAGCTTGTTGCTCCTGTGATCCCAGAATAGCTGTTCTTGCCACACTCAGTGCACGGCGGCAAACCATTCGTTGAAAAAAATCCAGGTGGACACTTATCTGTGGTCAACATTGATAACATACTGCGATCAGTGGTAAATCATTTGGGGATGAATGTCCACCTGGACACTTATCTGTGGTCAACATTAATTATGTAATGCAATCAGTGGTAAATCATTTGGGAATGAATGTCCACGTGGACACTTATCTGTGGTCAACATTGATTATATAATGCAATCATTGGTAAATCATTTGGAGATGAATGTCCGCGTGGACACTTATCTGTGGTCAACATTGATTATGTAATGCAATCAGTGGTAAATCATTTGGGGATGAATGTCCACGTGGACACTTATCTGTGGTCAACATTAATTATGTAATGCAATCAGTGGTAAATCATTTGGGAATGAATGTCCACGTGGACACTTATCTGTTGTAACAGTACATGATAAGGCGGTAGGAGTTAGCTCCCTTGATCGGAACTCTCTAACTTGGTTGGGTGCGTTTGTTGGTAAAACCTGCAGGAACCAAGACCATGCAGTTGGGTCTCTGTGAGGATTCCTGTTTGTTTTCTGCGTTGCAAGTAAGCCCAAGGAGGTAATTACTATTAATTGTTATTTTTCTACGATCGTATTTGTTCCGGAATGCTATTAAATACTGTAATTTCGATTCTAGTCAACAAATTGCTTGTCAAATTCGCTAATATGCATAACTGATTTCGATCAAATATTTACTGGCAGATTGAAGTACTTTCTATGTAATTAATGTTTTATAATCGTACTCTAATAGTGAGAATCTGTAAACTTTGTATGTTTAGTTTTCAAGGTGAAGTTGAAATTCAAGTGTGTAGATTCTGCGTGCAATTTATCCAATAAACAAAGCTTCATCAGTAATTCACAAAGACTCTTTGGCTTACTTATGTGGGAGTTGCGGCCCCTTGACCTTAACCAGTTTGCGAAAACTACAGTGCACGTCACCTATATTGGTCTGTGTGCTACTGTCGTTACATCTGTGGTCAACATTGATTATGTAATGCAATCAGTGGTAAATCATTTGGGGATGAATGTCCACGTGGACACTTATCTGTGGTCAACATTAATTATGTAATGCAATCAGTGGTAAATCATTTGGGGATGAATGTCCACGTGGACACTTATCTGTGGTCAACATTGATTATGTAATGCAATCAGTGGTAAATCATTTGGGGATGAATGTCCACGTGGACACTTATCTGTGGTCAACATTGATTATGTAATGCAATCAGTGGTAAATCATTTGGGGATGAATGTCAACGTGGACACTTATCTGTGGTCAACATTAATTATGTAATGCAATCAGTGGTAAATCATTTGGGGATGAATGTCCACGTGGACACTTATCTGTGGTCAACATTAATTATGTAATGCAATCAGTGGTAAATCATTTGGGGATGAATGTCCACGTGGACACTTATCTGTGGTCAACATTGATTATGTAATGCAATCAGTGGTAAATCATTTGGGGATGAATGTCCACGTGGACACTTATCTGTGGTCAACATTGATTATGTAATGCAATCAGTGGTAAATCATTTGGGGATGAATGTCAACGTGGACACTTATCTGTGGTCAACATTAATTATGTAATGCAATCAATGGTAAATCATTTGGGGATGAATGTCCATGTGGACACTTATCTGTGGTCAACATTGATTATGTAATGCAATCAGTGGTAAATCATTTGGGGATGAATGTCCACGTGGACACTTATCTGTGGTCAACATTAATTATGTAATGCAATCAGTGGTAAATTATTTGGGGATGAATGTCCACGTGGACACTTATCTGTGGTCAACATTAATTATGTAATGCAATCATTGGTAAATCATTTGGGGATGAATGTCCACGTGGACACTTATCTGTGGTCAACATTGATTATGTAATGCAATCATTGGTAAATCATTTGGGGATGAATGTCCACGTGGACACTTATCTGTGGTCAACATTGATTATGTAATGCAATCAGTGGTAAATTATTTTGAGAAGAATATATATGTGGACACTTATCTGTGGTCTACATTGATTATGTAATGCAATCAGTGGTAAATTATTTTGAGAAGAATATATATGTGGACATTTTCCTGTGGTAAAAAGAAGTAAACACTGCAGTGTGCTTAACACTGATAATACCTTCATATGTGGAAACATTCACTTTGCCCTGTTGGAAATTTCTCGAGCATCTTTAAATGCTGGGCTAATTCTCTCGATGTTAAAGATGAATTATATGTGAATTAAGTGCACATGTAACAATTGGTGAAAAAGAACAATACGATGTCAATATGAATGCCAAATGAAGCAGTTCAAAGCTGATATAACTTACTGACAGAGCACTGGTTACTGTTTGTCCTGCCAGGGAATTCAGAACTACGACCATTAGAACAATTTGTACACTTGGACTGTCCACTGAAGGGGTTGTAGGTTCCGACTGGACAGAGAGTACATTCTCCAGCATTATAGTAGGTTCCCTCAGGACAAGACACTGCAACGGGATCAATATTAGTAGAGAGTGATGAAAGGAACCTCACTGGAATTATCATGTGTAGTAGAGAGTGATGAAAGGAAACTCACTGGAATTAAATGTAGTAGAGAGTGAAGAAAGGAAACTCACTGGAATTATCATGTGTAGTAGAGAGTGATGAAAGGGACCTCACTGGAATTATCATGTGTAGTAGAGAGTGATGAAAGGAACCTCACTGGAATTATCATGTGTAGTAGAGAGTGATGAAAGGGACCTCACTGGAATTATCATGTGTAGTAGAGAGTGATGAAAGGGACCTCACTGGAATTATCATGTGTAGTAGAGAGTGATGAAAGGAAACTCACTGGAATTATCATGTGTAGTAGAGAGTGATGAAAGGACCCTCACTGGAATTATCATGTGTAGTAGAGAGTGATGAAAGGAACCTCACTGGAATTATCATGTGTAGTAGAGAGTGATGAAAGGAACCTCACTGGAATTATCATGTGTAGTAGAGAGTGATGAAAGGAAACTCACTGGAATTATCATGTGTAGTAGAGAGTGATGAAAAGAACCTCACTGGAATTATCATGTGTAGTAGAGAGTGATGAAAGGAACTCACTGGAATTATCATGTGTAGTAGAGAGTGATGAAAGGAAACTCACTGGAATTATCATGTGTAGTAGAGAGTGATGAATGGAAACTCACTGGAATTATCATGTGTAGTAGAGAGTGATGAAAGGAACCTCACTGGAATTATCATGTGTAGTAGAGAGTGATGAAAGGAACCTCACTGGAATTATCATGTGTAGTAGAGAGTGATGAAAGGAAACTCACTGGAATTATCATGTGTAGTAGAGAGTGATGAAAGGGACCTCACTGGAATTATCATGTGTGGTAGAGAGTGATGAAAGGGACCTCACTGGAATTATCATGTGTAGTAGAGAGTGATGAAAGGAAACTCACTGGAATTATCATGTGTAGTAGAGAGTGATGAAAGGAACCTCACTGGAATTATCATGTGTAGTAGAGAGTGTGGATGTGTAGTAGAGAGGATGAAAGGAACTCACTGGAATTATCATGTGTAGTAGAGAGTGATGAAAGGCAACTCACTGGAATTATCATGTGTAGTAGAGAGTGATGAAAGGAAACTCACTGGAATTATCATGTGTAGTAGAGAGTGATGAAAGGAACCTCACTGGAATTATCATGTGTAGTAGAGAGTGATGAAAGGAAACTCACTGGAATTATCATGTGTAGTAGAGAGTGATGAAAGGAACTTCACTGGAATTATCATGTGTAGTAGAGAGTGATGAAAGGAACTTCACTGGAATTATCATGTGTAGTAGAGAGTGATGAAAGGAACCTCACTGGAATTATCATGTGTAGTAGAGAGTGTAGTAGAGAGTGATGAAAGGAACTCACTGGAATTATCATGTGTAGTAGAGAGTGATGAAAGGAACCTCACTGGAATTATCATGTGTAGTAGAGAGTGATGAAAGGAAACTCACTGGAATTATCATGTGTAGTAGAGAGTGATGAAAGGGACCTCACTGGAATTATCATGTGTAGTAGAGAGTGATGAAAGGAACCTCACTGGAATTATCATGTGTAGTAGAGAGTGATGAAAGGAACTCACTGGAATTATCATGTAGTAGAGAGTAGACTGGAGTGATGTAGAGAAGGAACCTCACTGGAATTATCATGTGTAGTAGAGAGTGATGAAAGGAAACTCACTGGAATTATCATGTGTAGTAGAGAGTGATGAAAGGAAACTCACTGGAATTATCATGTGTAGTAGAGAGTGATGAAAGGAAACTCACTGGAATTATCATGTGTAGTAGAGAGTGATGAAAGGAAACTCACTGGAATTATCATGTGTAGTAGAGAGTGATGAAAGGAACCTCACTGGAATTATCATGTGTAGTAGAGAGTGATGAAAGGGAACTCACTGGAATTATCATGTGTAGTAGAGAGTGATGAAAGGAAACTCACTGGAATTATCATGTGTAGTAGAGAGTGATGAAAGGGAACTCACTGGAATTATCATGTGTAGTAGAGAGTGATGAAAGGAACCTCACTGGAATTATCATGTGTAGTAGAGAGTGATGAAAGGAACCTCACTGGAATTATCATGTGTAGTAGAGAGTGATGAAAGGAACCTCACTGGAATTATCATGTGTAGTAGAGAGTGATGAAAGGGACCTCACTGGAATTATCATGTGTAGTAGAGAGTGATGAAAGGAAACTCACTGGAATTATCATGTGTAGTAGAGAGTGATGAAAGGAAACTCACTGGAATTATCATGTGTAGTAGAGAGTGATGAAAGGGAGAGTGATGAAAGGAACCTCACTGGAATTATCATGTGTAGTAGAGAGTGATGAAAGGAAACTCACTGGAATTACCATGTGTGGTAGAGAGTGATGAAAGGGACCTCAATGGAATTATCATGTGTAGTAGAGAGTGATGAAAGGAAACTCACTGGAATTATCATGTGTAGTAGAGAGTGATGAAAGGGACCTCACTGGAATTATCATGTGTAGTAGAGAGTGATGAAAGGAAACTCACTGGAATTATCATGTGTAGTAGAGAGTGATGAAAGGAACTCACTGGAATTATCATGTGTAGTAGAGAGTGATGAAAGGAAACTCACTGGAATTATCATGTGTAGTAGAGAGTGATGAAAGGAACCTCACTGGAATTATCATGTGTAGTAGAGAAACTCACTGGAATTATCATGTGTAGTAGAGAGTGATGAAAGGAAACTCAATGGAATTATCATGTGTAGTAGAGAGTGATGAAAGGGACCTCACTGGAATTATCATGTGTAGTAGAGAGTGATGAAAGGGACCTCACTGGAATTATCATGTGTAGTAGAGAGTGATGAAATTATACATCACTACAACTGTATATCATCAGTTAGATAGTCCTTTACTGACCCTCTATAGCTCTATAGAAGGTCAGTAAGTGACTATCTAATGAATTTATCTCACCGAGGACCTTTTTCATACATCAACAACCAAGGTATCATCATGTTATTTCATTTATTGTATGTTTAACAAAGCAATCACAATTTAACAAATCAGTCTGACATCAGTTCCAGACAGTAACTTCAAAATATATTCCTTCTTTTGAAATAGATCTCAATATGGCTCAAACTTTATTTCATTTAAGCCAGTGTTGTCTGCCCAAAGCGGTCCATTATAGAATTACAGTGGGTCACCATGTGACGTCTTTCAACCAATGATTTTAGGGCATTCTAGTCCAAGGTGCAATCAATTTACATATATGTGTATAAATACGTATATGTTTGTGTAGCCTACATCGATAACTCACTCAGACCTTGGTGGAAGGTGATCACACACCTGTGTAGCCTATATAGACAACTCACTCACACCTTGGTGGAAGATGATCGCACACCTGTGTAGCCTACATCGATAACTCACTCACACCTTGGTGGAAGGTGATCACACACCTGTGTAGCCTATATAGACAACACACTCACACCTTGGTGGAAGGTGATCACACACCTGTGTAGCCTACATTGATAACTCACTCTGACCTTGGTGGAAGGTGATCACACACCTGTGTAGCCTATATAGACAACTCACTCAGACCTTGGTGGAAGGTGATCACATACCTGTGTAGCCTATATAGACAACTCACTCACACCTTGGTGGAAGGTGATCACATACCTGTGTAGCCTACATCGATAACTCACTCACACCTTGGTGGAAGGTGATCACACATCTGTGTAGCCTACATCGATAACTCACTCTGACCTTGGTGGAAGGTGATCACATACCTGTGTAGCCTATATAGACAACTCACTCACACCTTGGTGGAAGGTGATCACACACCTGTGTAGCCTATATAGACAACTCACTCAGACCTTGGTGGAAGGTGATCACACACCTGTGTAGCCTATATAGACAACTCACTCACACCTTGGTGGAAGGTGATCACACACCTGTGTAGCCTATATATGCAACTCACTCACACCTTGGTGGAAGGTGATCACACATCTGTGTAGCCTATATAGACAACTCACTCACACCTTGGTGGAAGGTGATCACATACCTGTGTAGCCTACATCGATAACTCACTCACACCTTGGTGGAAGGTGATCACACATCTGTGTAGCCTACATCGATAACTCACTCTGACCTTGGTGGAAGGTGATCACATACCTGTGTAGCCTATATAGACAACACACTCACACCTTGGTGGAAGGTGATCACACACCTGTGTAGCCTATATATGCAACTCACTCACACCTTGGTGGAAGGTGATCACACACCTGTGTAGCCTATATAGACAACTCACTCACACCTTGGTGGAAGGTGATCACACACCTGTGTAGCCTATATATGCAACTTACTCACACCTTGGTGGAAGGTGATCGCACACCTGTGTAGCCTATATAGCCAACTCACTCACACCTTGGTGGAAGGTGATCGCACACCTGTGTAGCCTATATAGACAACTCACTCACACCTTGGTGGAAGGTGATCGCACACCTGTGTAGCCTATATAGACAACTCACTCACACCTTGGTGGAAGGTGATCGCACACCTGTGTAGCCTATATATACAACTCACTCACACCTTGGTGTAAGGTGATCGCACACCTGTGTAGCCTGTATAGACAACTCACTCACACCTTGGTGGAAGGTGATCGCACACCTGTGTAGCCTGTATAGACAACTCACTCACACCTTGGTGGAAGGTGATCACACACCTGTGTAGCCTATATATGTAACTCACTCAGACCTTGGTGGAAGGTGATCACATACCTGTGTAGCCTATATAGACAACTCACTCAGACCTTGGTGGAAGGTGATCACACACCTGTGTAGCCTATATAGACAACTCACTCACACCTTGGTGGAAGGTGATCACACACCTGTGTAGCCTATATAGACAACTCACTTAGACCTTGGTGGAAGGTGATCACACACCTGTGTAGCCTACATCGATAAGTCACTCAGACCTTGGTGGAAGGTGATCACACACCTGTGTAGCCTACATCGATAACTCACTCAGACCTTGGTGGAAGGTGATCACACACCTGTGTAGCCTATATAGACAACTCACTCAGACCTTGGTGGAAGGTGATCACACATTTGTTACATACCTTTGAATTCTGTGTAGTCAACTGGATCAGATCGTGCGGGATGGTGAATCGGATCGGGTTAATAGGGTTGATATTACGACACGATATGATGAAATTGTTGACCTGGTCATCAATGGTACGATTGATAAAAGATCGGTACTCCTCCAGACAAGTTGGAGTTCCAGTAACTTCATTGTAAGTAACGTTCATGTTCAACTGGTAAGCAGCTGTATTGGAACTTCCCACTAATAATCGCAATAAGAATAAGGTTTATTGTATTCTAAGCATATAAAACACAAGTTTGCTCCTAACCTACAGTGCTTAGTGTAGGGGTACCAAGAAACCCTAGATAACTACAGAAAATGTCCAATTTGAACATTCCCTTGAAGAAATAGTGATAATATTCTTTACCTGCCAAATCCCAAATGATTTCCTGTAAGCCATTTTGTTTTTCTGGTTAGTCCCAAAATCAAAGGGGCACAACTTGGAACCAAAGGGAACCTTTATATGATATTTGAGAGAGATCCATCCTACCAGTACTTCTCACAACAAACTGTAATCATTGAAATCTAAGCTCTCTGCCAAGATTTTTTTTATCATTTCCAAAATCAAACAAGCACAACAAGGGACAAAAAGGAACCTACATATGAAATTTGAGACAGATCCAGTACTTCTAAACAAGCTTTCATTGTAAAATTCAAGATGGCCACCTGTCAGCAATTTTGTTTTTCCCTGATCAGTTCTAAAATCAAACAGGCATAACTAAGGATCAAGGGGAACCTACATCTGAAATTTGAGATAGATCTGTTCAGTGCTTTTCCACAAATAGCAATATTAAAATTTGTTTATGGACAGATGGAGGGCCACAGATCACAGATGTAGGGCAATTTGAATAGACCACCATGTAATAACCAAGCAATTTTACATATGGTCTTTAGTATTCCTATGAGTTCAAAAATCAGTTCACAAGTTTAGGAGGAATTGATACAACAAGATGTCTTCAGACAGACAAATAGACAGGCAAATGGATGGACAGACAACTTGATTCCAGTGTAACCCCTTTGACTTTGTTGTAGGGGAGTATAAAGATTAACAGTACTACTACAACTACTTGCACACTAGTTTGTAGGTTTGTGTGTATGTATCTATGTATGTTTTAAATCTTGTCCAAAAATGTGTTAGGAGAAGACTTATAAATGTCTGTAGTTCTGATATACATATCAATAAAATGTTTAAAATGAAATGAACAGCTTTTACTAAATATCACATCTACAGCTCCTTACATGGACACATACTGAAGTCTACACCATAGATATCTATAGAACTAACACACTATTGGATGTATAGTGAAGCCAATACCTGGGACACAAGCTGGCACGGCTGAAGGATTCCATGAACTGCCTGAAGTACACTGCATGGTATGAGCACTAGTTTTCTGTTCGTAGAAAACATAGCCAGACTGACAGGTCAGGTTACAGGAATATCCATTGGTGATCGCAACACAATTTTTATATCCATATAACGGGTCAGTCAATGCCAAAGGTGAACAAGGATCAACTGTAATATATAATAAAGAAAACTATCAAAAACAAGATGTAATTCTACATAACTAACACAACATAATTCTACATAACACAACATAATTCTATATAACTAACACAACATAATTCTACATAACTAACACAACATAATTCTATATAACTAACACAACATAATTCTACATAACTAACACAACATAATTCTATATAACTAACACAACATAATTCTACATAACTAACACAACATAATTCTACATAACTAACACAACATAATTCTATATAACTAACACAACATAATTCTACATAACTAACACAACATAATTCTATATAACTAACACAACATAATTCTATATAACTAACACAACATAATTCTATAACTAACACAACATAATTCTATATAACACAACATAATTCTACATAATAACACAACATAATTCTATATAACACAACATAATTCTATATAACTAACACAACATAATTCTATATAACACAACATAATTCTACATAACTAACACAACATAATTCTATATAACACAACATAATTCTATATAACTAACACAACATAATTCTATATAACACAACATAATTCTATATAACTAACACAACATAATTCTATATAACTAACACAACATAATTCTACATAACTAACACAACATAATTCTATATAACACAACATAATTCTATATAACTAACACAACATAATTCTATATAACTAACACAACATAATTCTACATAACTAACACAACATAATTCTATATAACTAACACAACATAATTCTATATAACTAACACAACATAATTCTACATAACTAACACAACATATTTCTACATAACTAACACAACATAATTCTATATAACTAACACAACATAATTCTATATAACTAACACAACATAATTCTATATAACTAACACAACATAATTCTATATAACTAACACAACATAATTCTAAATAACAAACACAACATAATTCTACATAACTAACACAACATAATTCTATATAACACAACATAATTCTATATAACTAACACAACATAATTCTATATAACTAACACAACATAATTCTACATAACTAACACAACATAATTCTATATAACTAACACAACATAATTCTATATAACTAACACAACATAATTCTACATAACTAACACAACATAATTCTATATAACTAACACAACATAATTCTATATAACACAACATAATTCTATATAACACAACATAATTCTATATAACACAACATAATTCTATATAACTAACACAACATAATTCTATATAACTAACACAACATAATTCTATATAACTAACACAACATAATTCTATATAACACAACATAATTCTATATAACTAACACAACATAATTCTATATAACTAACACAACATAATTCTACATAACTAACACAACATAATTCTACATAACTAACACAACATAATTCTATATAACTAACACAACATAATTCTACATAACTAACACAACATAATTCTACATAACTAACACAACATAATTCTATATAACTAACACAACATAATTCTACATAACTAACACAACATAATTCTATATAACTAACACAACATAATTCTATATAACACAACATAATTCTATATAACTAACACAACATTATTCTATATAACTAACACAACATAATTCTATATAACTAACACAACATAATTCTACATAACTAACACAACATAATTCTATATAACTAACACAACATAATTCTATATAACACAACATAATTCTATATAACACAACATAATTCTATATAACTAACACAACATAATTCTACATAACTAACACAACATAATTCTATATAACTAACACAACATAATTCTATATAACACAACATAATTCTATATAACTAACACAACATAATTCTATATAACTAACACAACATAATTCTATATAACTAACAAAACATAATTCTATATAACTAACACAACATAATTCTATATAACAAACACAACATAATTCTACATAACTAACACAACATAATTCTATAACTAACACAACATAATTCTATATAACACAACATAATTCTATATAACTAACACAACATAATTCTATATAACACAACATAATTCTACATAACTAACACAACATAATTCTATATAACTAACACAACATAATTCTATATATAACACAACATAATTCTATATAACACAACATAATTCTATATAACACAACATAATTCTATATAACTAACACAACATAATTCTATATAACTAACACAACATTATTCTATATAACACAACATAATTCTATATAACTAACACAACATAATTCTATATAACTAACACAACATAATTCTATATAACACAACATAATTCTATATAACACAACATAATTCTACATAACTAACACAACATAATTCTATATAACTAACACAACATAATTCTATATAACACAACATAATTCTACATAACTAACACAACATAATTCTACATAACTAACACAACATAATTCTATATAACACAACATAATTCTACATAACTAACACAACATAATTCTATATAACACAACATAATTCTATATAACACAACATAATTCTATATAACTAACACAACATAATTCTACATAACTAACACAACATAATTCTATATAAATAACACAACATAATTCTATATAACTAACACAACATAATTCTATATAACACAACATAATTGTATATAACTAACACAACATAATTCTACATAACTAACACAACATAATTCTACATAACTAACACAACATAATTCTATATAACTAACACAACATAATTCTACATAACTAACACAACATAATTCTATATAACTAACACAACATAATTCTACATAACTAACACAACATAATTCTATATAACTAACACAACATAATTCTATATAACACAACATAATTCTATATAACTAACACAACATAATTCTATATAACTAACACAACATAATTCTACATAACTAACACAACATAATTCTATATAACTAACACAACATAATTCTATATAACTAACACAACATAATTCTATATACATAACTAACACAACATAATTCTATATAACACAACATAATTCTATATAACTAACACAACATAATTCTATATAACACAACATAATTCTATATAACTAACACAACATAATTCTATATAACACAACATAATTCTACATAACTAACACAACATAATTCTATATAACTAACACAACATAATTCTATATAACTAACACAACATAATTCTATATAACACAACATAATTCTATATAACTAACACAACATAATTCTCTACATAACTAACACAACATAATTCTACATACTAACACAACATAATTCTATATAACACAACATAATTCTATATAACTAACACAACATAATTCTATAACTAACACAACATAATTCTATATAACTAACACAACATAATTCTATATAACACAACATAATTCTATATAACTAACACAACATCATTCTATATAACACAACATAATTCTATATAACTAACACAACATAATTCTATATAACTAACACAACATAATTCTATATAACTAACACAACATAATTCTATATAACACAACATAATACATAACTAACACAACATAATTCTATATAACTAACACAACAAAATTCTACATAACTAACACAACATAATTCTATATAACTAACACAACATCAATCTATATAACTAAACATAATTCTACATAACTAATACAACATAATTCTATATAACACAACATAATTCTACATAACTAATACAACATAATTCTATATAACTAACACAACATAATTCTATATAACTAATACAACATAATTCTATATAACACAACATAATTCTACATAACTAATACAACATAATTCTATATAACACAACATAATTCTATATAACACAACATAATTCTATATAACTAATACAACATAATTCTATATAACTAACACAACATAATTCTATATAACACAACATAATTCTACATAACTAATACAACATAATTCTATATAACACAACATAATTCTACATAACTAATACAACATAATTCTATATAACTAACACAACATAATTCTATATAACTAATACAACATAATTCTATATAACACAACATAATTCTACATAACTAATACAACATAATTCTATATAACTAACACAACATAATTCTATATAACACAACATAATTCTATATAACTAATACAACATAATTCTATATAACTAACACAACATAATTCTATATAACACAACATAATTCTACATAACTAATACAACATAATTCTATATAACACAACATAATTCTATATAACTAACACAACATAATTCTATATAACTAACACAACATAATTCTATATAACACAACATAATTCTATATAACTAACACAACATAATTCTATATAACTAACACAACATAATTCTACATAACTAACACAACATAATTCTATATAACACAACATAAATCTATATAACTAACACAACATCAATCTATATAACTAAACAGACCTCAGCTTAATGTACATTTATATCTCACATGAAATGATACAGATCCCAGCTAAATGTACATTTAGATCTCACATGACCTGATATAGACCCAACCTAAATGTATATTTAAATCAATGCTGACCTGATACAAACCCCAGCTAAATGTACACTCAGATCTAACAAGACCTGATACAAACCCAAGCTAAATGTACATTTATATCTCACATGACATGATACAGACCCCGGATAAATGTACACTCAGATCTAACATGACCTGATATAGACCCCAGCTAAATGTACATTTATATCTCACATGACAAGATACAGACCCCAGCTAAATGTACACTCAGATCTCACATGACCTGATATAGACCCCAGCTAAATGTACATTTAGATCAAATGTGACCTGATACAGACCCCAGCTAAATGTACATTTATATCTCACATGACATGATACAGACCCCAGCTAAATGTACACTCAGATCTCACATGACATGATACAGACCCCAGCTAAATGTACATTTAGATCTCACATGACCTGATACAGACCCCAGCTAAATGTACATTTATATCTTACATGACATGATACAGACCCCAACTAAATGTATATTTAAATCAATGCTGACCTGATACAAACCCCAGCTAAATGTACACTCAGATCTCACATGACATGATATAGACCCCAGCTAAATGTACACTCAGATCTCACATGACCTGATACAGACCCCAGATAAATGTACTCTCAGATCTAATGTGACATGATATAGATCCCAGATAAATGTACATTTAGATCTCACATGACCTGATACAGTCCCCAGCTAAATGTACATTGAGATCTAACATGACCTGATATAGACCCCAGCTAAATGTACATTTAGATCTCACATGACCTGATACAGACCCCAGCTAAATGTACATTTAGATCTCACATGACCTGATACAGACCCCAGCTAAATGTACATTTATGATATAGACCCCAGCTAAATGTACATTTAAATTTCATATGACCTGATACAGACCCCAGCTAAATGTAATGTACATTTAAAGTATCTAGACATGACCTGATACAGACCCCAGCTAAATGTACATTTAGATCTCACATGACCTGATACAGACCCCAGCTAAATGTACATTTAGATCTAACATGACCTGATATAGACCCCAGCTAAATGTACATTTAGATCTCACATGACCTGATACAGACCCAAGCTAAATGTACATTTAGATCTCACATGACCTGATAAAGACCCAAGCTAAATGTACATTTAGATCTCACATGACCTGATAAAGACCCAAGCTAAATGTACATTTAGATCTAACATGACCTGATACAGACCCCAGCTAAATGTACATCTAGATCTCACATATCTTAATGTCATAATGTCAAACTAATGAACTAACAGTTTCTATCAAACTACAAAATGCACAGTACTACTCACTTTTGACAGCCACATCAAAGTTGCACTGTGCATTGTTGCCAGCAGCATCTCGTACGATGACTGTGACAAGGTGACTTCCAAGGTTACTGGCACTGACTGTGATGTAGGGAGGGTTGATGAAAACATTGGTCACATTTACATTATCAGAAGCATTGACCGCCTTTAATGTGCTATTCACTTGCCATGATGACGTTGTGTTTGTCACATGCAGTGTCCGGGAGTCTGGGCAAGTCACGCTGGGTTTTACAGTATCTAAAATATAAAATTTAATGGAGTTTAGAGGCAACTTTCACTTTCAGTGTATGGGAGATTGGGCAAGTCACCATGAGTTTTGCAGTGACTGAAAAATCAAATTTATTGGAGTCTAGATCCAACTTTCATTTACAGTGTATATGAGGCTGGGTACATTTCATTTTCTTTTTTCTGATCAGTCTCAAAAACCAATGGGCATAATTAGAGAAAAATAGGATCCTTGAAATGTGAAAAAGAACCATTCAGTACTTCTCAAGAAACGACAATCGTAAAGTTTTATTGTCAAAATCCAAGATGGCCAGATGGCTGCCATTTTTTTTTTTTTTTTGTTCAGTCCCAAAATCTATATCAAAAGCGCACAAATAGGGACAAAAGAACACCTAAAAATAAAATCTAAAGACAAATCCATCTTCTAAAGAGACAGCAATAACAAGTTATGACTTTCAAAAAACCACCAGCCAACAAAAATGTCACTGATTTCCATTTTTCCTATGAAGTCTGTAGCAGTGTAGAGAACATTCTGACTACCAGAAAGACTTGTTATCACCAATGTTTTGTTTCTAATCAGATTAAATGAACAAACTTACCATTTACTGTCACGACGATGCTACAGGTCTCTGTATTTCCTATGAAGTCTGTAGCAGTGTAGAAAACATTCTGACTACCAGAAAAAGATTTTATCACCAATGTTGAGTTTCCCCACCGTGGGCTTATGGTGGTAGACTTCAGGCCAGTGTTATCCTTAAATAATGGCTGATCCAGGATCACTGTTTGGTAGGGGTTGACACTCTGAGCAGACACGCAGCGCACTTTCTCTGGTTTCTGTGTGTCTGAAAATTGTTCAGTATCAATATTTAAATGTTGATAAGAAAACTGACCATCATACACATAAACATGTCTTGATTATCACCATCCTACTAGAACACTTACCAACACAGGTAGGTAGAGGGCCATCCCATTGCAGGCTACTACCATCTTGACTGAGGACACACTTAATGCTGCCCCTCCCGTTGAGTTCATACCCCCTTCGTAGACACTCAAACATCACTTCAGCATTCTGCTCATAACTGGTTGAAATTTGTTGCCCTCCAGGTATGTTACCAGGGTCATCACATGTTTGTCCTAAGGGGACCAAAAGTTTCATTGGTGAATATAAATGACAATTCATCTCAGGCAATAAAGCTTTTAACTACAATATGTCTGAGGAACATGATTCAGAGATCACATATACTAAGGTACTGTTTTCCTTATGAAAACCAATGCAAACAGAAACTCCATATTTAAAAAGAACAAAAAAATAGATACAGAACTGTTGTTGATCTTTCCAATTTGTAAGCACTGTTTTGTACCATAAGGTAATCACTTCCAAACTTTACTCTTCTTTCAAAATGTAAAATTAAACCTATATGATATCTATAATACTACTGAAGCAGTGTTCTGGTGTTTTCTCGGCCATGAAAAACATTGACTGATTTTAACATTTCAAGCCCAGTCCAAATAGTATCCATCAACAAGGAATAATATATGGGTTTTAAATGTTCCCAGAAATGCCAAGCCTTGACAATAAAGGGTGGATGGGTTGAATGGTACATAAAGGACAAGGACATTCACAAAAATTTTACCCCCCTTTTTTTTTACAGCCTTCTTTTTCAAATTTTGGGAAGATTAGATTAGATTGCTTCATAAGCATATAATAACACATTTCATACTCCCAATGTCTCATTTTTTTGTTTTACTTAGTCACCAACACACTGCAGACTCCCAAAGTCTGTTATTCTATAATTTTACCTAGCCACACTGCAGACTTCTAAAGTCCCATATTCTATCTGTTTTAAGTACCGACACACTGCAGACTTCTAAAGTCCCATATTCTATCTGTTTTAAGTACCGACACACTGCAGACTTCTAAAGTCCCATATTCTATCTGTTTTAAGTACCGACACACTGCAGACTTCCAAAGTCCCATATTCTATCTGTTTTAAGTACCGACACACTGCAGACTTCCAAAGTCCCATATTCTATCTGTTTTAAGTACCGACACACTGCAGACTTCTAAAGTCCCATATTCTATCTGTTTTAAGTACCGACACACTGCGGACTTCTAAAGTCCCATATTCTATCTGTTTTAAGTACCGACACACTGCCGACTTCCAAAGTCCCATTTCTATATGTTTTAATTACCGACACACTGCAGATTTCCAAAGTCCCATTTTCCATCAGCTTGACATCTGACAGTTGTATCTCCACTTGCACTTCGGCCATCACGAACTTGAAGTGATGAACAGGTGAAAGCAAAGGAACTGCCATAGACAGTATTTCCCACTATGAAGTCAGAGCCAGGCACCGGATCTGGGGTACCGCAGTTTATCACTAAAAACAAAATAGCAGTCACAACAGACAAATATCAGTCGATCTGAGCCAAATAGATATCAGTCAATCACAGTAAACAAGATATCAGTCTGTCACAGTAAACAAGATATCAGTCTATCACAGTATACAAGATATCAATCTATCACAGCAAACAAGATATCAGTCTGTCACAGTATACAAGATATCAGTCTGTCATCACAGCAAACAAGATATCAGTCTGTCACAGTATACAAGATATCAGTCTGTCACAGTAAACAAGATATCAGTCTGTCACAGTAAACAAGATATCAGTCTGTCACAGTAAACAAGATATCAGTCTGTCACAGTAAACAAGATATCAGTCTGTCACAGTAAACAAGATATCAGTCTGTCACAGTAAACAAGATATCAGTCTGTCACAGTAAACAAGATATCAGTCTGTCACAGTAAACAAGATATCAGTCTGTCACAGTAAACAAGATATCAGTCTGTCACAGTAAACAAGATATCAGTCTGTCACAGTAAACAAGATATCAGTCTGTCACAGTAAACAAGATATCAGTCTGTCACAGTATACAAGATATCAGTCTGTCACAGTAAACAAGATATCAGTCTGTCACAGTAAACACAACATCGTTAAATCAGAGCAAACAAAATATCAACAAAATATCAACTCTTGCAGATGAAATATTGTGAGAAGAATTGTAAACATTGTATCTACTAAAACATTAAGGTATTATTGAGATTTTCTTAATTTACAAACAAAATTGGACATTGTAGAAGAAATCAGCACAGCTTACCTGGACATTCGTATGGAGCACCAATCAGCGAATAGACATTATTGGTCATGTCGTATAGACATTGACGTGTTGATGTGTAAACACTTGGCAAGTTATTAGTACATGTCATCTCCAGGACCTCTCCATACTCCAGCTGCAATGAGCTGTTAAGGTTGGGTACATTTACAACTCCATTCAGGTTAGCAGGAGAACAAGTGGCCACTGAAACAGTACTTTACATATATACACAGGTACAAACTGTTAAAGCTGGCCACTACTCCAGAAGTAGAAAAACAAGTGGCCAATACATAAATCAGTGAATTCTATATCTGTATTTGTCACAAAGTCACGAAAACAAGACAGTTCCTTTTTGTTTTGCCTTGAAAGTATCGGAGCGGTACACTTCTTTCTAGTTTTCCACGGTTAAAGAGTTAAGGAAATGATAAAACATAACTTACCAATACAGGTGGGGAAAGAAGATGACCACTGTCCATTTGAGGTACAGGTCAGCATAGATATTCCATTAATCATATAGCCAATGTCACAGAAGTACTCGATTGTGTCTCCATATCGATGGATCATCCTTCCGGTCATCAGCCGAGCATTGGCTCTAATGGGTGGGGCACTGCATGCCACACCTACAAATAGAAATGGTAATTTCAGACATGTACTGTGCTAAAGTAGCTTGAATGCAATGAGAATCAGACCTTTTTGCACTTACTGTAGAACATTTAAGATTGAGTAAGATTTAGGAGTAGAACAGTAAATGTTTTAGCAGTTAAGTATTAAGATAATACTTTGTACAGTTTATACGTTTGAATCAACCTCACTCTGTACATTAGGGTCAATATAGGAGGGACTTGGTGGAATCCAGCAAGGCAAGTGTCATATATACAGCTTTTGTAAGATCCTACAAATCTCTTTCATTTCAAAACAGAAGTATAACACACAAATATGTCTGATTTAAACAACATACGGACGCAGGTGTGGTTGAGGTGGTAAATGTCATCAGACAGGAGCCCAGTCTCAGTGTTTGGAATTAAGTAGCCCGAGGTGTTGTTTTTTGAGAACAAAACATATCCTGGCTGATCACAGGAACAGAGGTAACCGCCTGTAATGTCCTGGCACTTCTGGCTACACCCTCCATTGTTAACATTACATTCATTGATGTCTGAAACAAAGCATATTTAGGGTAACATACACCCTCCAAAAATCTACATTACTTTCACTGATGTCTGAAACACAGGTTACTTAGGGTAACATACACCCTCCAAAGTCTACATTTCATTCACTGAAGTCTGAAACACAGGTTATTTAGGGTAACATACACCCTCCAAAGTCTACATTACATTCATTGATGTCTGAAACACAGGTTATTTAGAGTAACATACACCCTCCAAAGTCTACATTACATTCATTGATGTCTGAAACACAGGTTATTTAGGGTAACATACACCCTCCAAAGTCTACATTACATTCATTGAAGTTGGAAACACAGGTTATTTCATAAAATTTCAGCAAATTTCACATCATACAGGTCCTCCCCTCACAGATTACACACCGTACAGGTCATTCCCCTAACATGTTTCACAACTTACAGAGATTCTCCCTTACAGATTTCTCATCCCAATGGTCCTCCATCTTACATGGTCCACACCAAACAGGTCTTCTCCTTTACAGATTTTACACCAAACAGGTCTTCTCCTTTACAGATTTTACACCAAACAGGTCTTCTCCCTTACATGTCTCACACCACACAGGTCTTCTCCCTTACATGTCTCACACCAAACAGGTCTTCTCCCTTACATGTCTCACACCACACAGGTCTTCTCCCTTACATGTCTCACACCACACAGGTCTTCTCCCTTACAAGTCTCACACAGGTCTTCTCCCTTACATGTCTCACACCAAACAGGTCTTCTCCCTTACATGTCTCACACCAAACAGGTCTTCTCCCTTACATGTCTCACACCACACAGGTCTTCTCCCTTACATGTCTCACACCACACAGGTCTTCTCCCTTACATGTCTCACACCACACAGGTCTTCTCCTTTACATGTCTCACACCACACAGGTCTTCTCCCTTACATGTCTTACACCACACAGGTCTTCTCCCTTACATGTCTTACACCAAACAGGTCTTCTCCTTTACAGATTTTACACCAAACAGGTCTTCTCCCTTACATGTCTCACACCAAACAGGTCTTCTCCCTTACATGTCTCACACCAAACAGGTCTTCTCCCTTACATGTCTCACACCACACAGGTCTTCTCCCTTACATGTTTCACACCACACAGGTCTTCTCCCTTACAAGTCTCACACCACACAGGTCTTCTCCCTTACATGTCTCACACCAAACAGGTCTTCTCCCTTACATGTCTCACACCACACAGGTCTTCTCCCTTACATGTCTCACACCACACAGGTCTTCTCCCTTTCTCCCTTACAAGTCTCACACCACACAGGTCTTCTCCCTTACATGTCTCACACCACACAGGTCTTCTCCCTTACATGTCTCACACCACACAGGTCTTCTCCCTTACATGTCTCACACCACACAGGTCTTCTCCCTTACATGTCTCACACCACACAGGTCTTCTCCCTTACATGTCTCACACCACACAGGTCTTCTCTTACATGTCTCACACCACACATGTCATGTTCACACCACACAGGTCTTCTCCCTTACATGTCTCACACCAAACAGGTCTTCTCCTTTACAGATTTTACACCAAACAGGTCTTCTCCTTTACAGATTTTACACCAAACAGGTCTTCTCCCTTACATGTCTCACACCAACCAGGTCTTCTCCCTTACATGTCTCACACCAAACAGGTCTTCTCCCTTACATGTCTCACACCACACAGGTCTTCTCCCTTACATGTCTCACACCACACAGGTCTTCTCCCTTACAAGTCTCACACCACACAGGTCTTCTCCCTTACATGTCTCACACCAAACAGGTCTTCTCTCACACCAAACAGGTCTTCTACTTTACAGATTTTACACCAAACAGGTCTTCTCCTTTACAGATTTTACACCAACCAGGTCTTCTCCCTTACATGTCTCACACCAAACAGGTCTTCTCCCTTACATGTCTCACACCACACAGGTCTTCTCCCTTACATGTCTCACACCACACAGGTCTTCTCCCTTACATGTCTCACACCACACAGGTCTTCTCCCTTACAGGTTTTACACCAAACAGGTCTCACCCTCACAGAATTTACATGTTTAGCATTACAAATATACCAGTACCTGAACAAGTGACGCCATCGGAGCCCAACATGTATCCATCATTACAGCCACAGGTGTAACTACCTTCATTGTCAATACACTTCTGAGTACATTCATTTATCCCAGTACATTCATTAATATCTGCAAACAAACATTCAGTAACATCTAATATCAATTCTCATTTCATATTGGATGCTTAACTACAGTTAATAGTATGTAAAGTTTATTATCACAAAACATTTAATGTTGTGTAAAGTTTCTTATCACAAAACAGTTAATATCTTTTAAAGTTAATTATCACTTAACTGTAATTGCATATTGTTAAATTATATGACCATTATTCTCCTAAGATAACTTTTGTCATATAACATAAACTATAACAAGAAATGTATTATCATACATTTATTATGAATCATCATAACCTAAACTAAAAATCAATCAACTGTAATCTGTTTACTTACTTAAACAGTGTCCAATGGCTGGATAGAATGTTAGGCTTGGTAAACACGTTGTTACATTTCTTATGTTTCTATCTTCAAATGTATAGCCAGTCTTGCAAGTTACTGTCAATTGCTGTCCAACCATCACACTTGAAGCATCTAGAACAGCGTTCTTGATTTCTGGGCTCATACAGGAACGTTCTTCAACAAATAGTACAAACTCAGGTACCTCCCTCACAACAGACTTTTTTTGTGGCTACTAACTTTCACTAGTTTAACAATGCAACAAATTTAAGAAAATTTAATTTTTGTGAAAATCTGAACCACCCTTTTTTTAATCTGAAGTGTAGAGTCTTCATAAAAACACTGTAGGGAGCCCCATTTCTAATCTTTAAAATTTAGCCACAAAAAGTAAGTTTGTCAAAGGAAGTTTAAACAGCCAATGTTCCATTAATGATTTCATAGACTGTAACAGCTTTTAAAATTTTAACAGTGAATTTGATACAGTACTGTAATCCTGAGGAATAAACCCGTCTCATTAACACCCTAATTCATAAGGTGTCTTCAGCTTCTGTTTCAATAGTATTATGAAGGTTCATCACAGTTATGTAAGGTCTTGCATGGCTTTGTATACACATAACCTCGTTAACAACTTCAAACATGCTTGCAATTTTTACCGAAACAAGGACAACTCAGAATTGAACAATCAAGGGAATAAGTCATCCCCTACACTGAAATCAACAACAGATTTATGAGACACACTATCACTGAAATCAACAACAGATTTATGAGACACACTATCACTGAAATCAACAACAGATTTATGAGACACACTATCGCTGAAATCAACAACAGATCGATGAGACACACTATCGCTGAAATCAACAACAGATCGATGAGACACATTATCACTGAAATCAACAACAGATTTATGAGACACACTATCGCTGAAATCAACAACAGATCTAGGAGACACACTATCGCTGAAATCAACAACAGATTTATGAGACACACTATCACTGAAATCAACAACAGATTTATGAGACACATTATCACTGAAATCAACAACAGATCTAGGAGACACATTATCACTGAAATCAACAACAGATCTAGGAGACACATTATCACTGAAATCAACAACAGATCTAGGAGACACATTATCACTGAAATCAACAACAGATCTAGGAGACACATTATCACTGAAATCAACAACAGATCTAGGAGACACATTATCACTGAAATCAACAACAGATCTAGGAGACACATTATCACTGAAATCAACAACAGATCTAGGAGACACATTATCACTGAAATCAACAACAGATCTAGGAGACACATTATCGCTGAAATCAACAACAGATCTAGGAGACACACTATCGCTGAAATCTACAACAGATCTAGGAGACACACTATCACTGAAATCAACAACAGATCTAGGAGACACACTATTACTGAAATCAACAACAGATCTAGGAGACATACTATCACTGAAATCAACAACAGATCTAGGAGACACACTATCACTGAAATCAACAACAGATCTAGGAGACATACTATCACTGAAATCAACAACAGATCTAGGAGACATACTATCGCTGAAATCAACAACAGATCTAGGAGACACACTATCACTGAAATCTACAACAGATCTAGGAGACACACTATCGCTGAAATCAACAACAGATCTAGGAGACATACTATCACTGAAATCAACAACAGATCTAGGAGACACACTATCACTGAAATCAACAACAGATCTAGGAGACATACTATTACTGAAATCAACAACAGATCTAGGAGACATACTATCACTGAAATCAACAACAGATCTAGGAGACACACTATCACTGAAATCTACAACAGATCTAGGAGACACACTATCACTGAAATCTACAACAGATCTAGGAGACACACTATCACTGAAATCAACAACAGATCTACGAGACACACTATCACTGAAATCTACAACAGATCTAGGAGACACACTATCACTGAAATCAACAACAGATTTATGAGACACACTATCACTGAAATCAACAACAGATCGATGAGACACATTATCACTGAAATCAACAACAGATCTACGAGACACATTATCACTGAAATCAACAACAGATCTACGAGACATACTATTGCTGTATATATAGTGTATTTAGAGTCAGTATAGACATAGATAAACTGTCATGTATTAATTAATTCAGGTAAATTGCCATGTATTATCAATAAACCTAAATGTTACTGGTTTATTAACTTAAATGGTCCTGCATCATTGAGTAACGTAAATTGTTGGTATTATCAAGGTAAATTACCGGTATTATAAATGTAAATGGTTGATAGTATTGATTAAGGTAAATGGTCTGTATCATTTCTGAAAGTAAATGGTAAGTATTACTAATTAAAGTCAATAGTCAGTATTTTTTTTTAATTGACCTGAAAAATAACAACACTTGGTCAGGACCATCTCAGAATCATTCCAAGTAAGTTTCAGCTCAATCCCACAAACGGTACTTGAGAAGAAGTATAAAAATAGGCGTTGTTCAGGGCAACAATGATTGTACAATAATGTTAACATATGGCCACCATGGCTGTCACATTGAACTTTTGAAAAATTTAATGAAGGAAAAAAATAAAACAGCTTGTTAACATCACCATCTCAAAGTCATTTCAAGCAAATTTTAGGTCAATCCCATTAGTGGAACATGAGAAGTTTAAAAAAATAAAAAGTTTACGCACAGCACAAAGATGGACAAAACACCATTATGCTTCAAATGTAAATCAAACATGAAAGAAAGCTGGTTGACTGTATAACTAGGTATATACTTTATTTCTTTATTTCACGACTGCAAAAAGTATTTATCAACTTATATCAACAAGAGTATCAGTGAAACTGATGAATGTCCACCAAAATAACTTTGACACAAAATTTTAAGAAAGGACATTAATGATGGAAGTAAGGGCTTTCAGACCCTGAATGCGATACACTGCACTTCTATTTAGAATGACCAATATAAACACCAAATTTCATCAGTTATGCTCTGAATACAAAACAATGGGCAATTATTCTGTAATTGAAGGGTGGCAGGCCCTGACTTCAGGGTATTGTACATTGTCTATATATAACCAATGCAAGCACCAATTTTCAAGATGCTTGCTTAACTGTAGGCAAGGTTATTCTCTGGGCAAGGAATTTTAAAGAAGGGCAATAACTCTGTAATTGCAAGGTTGTGGGCCCTGAGTTTGGTACACTGTAGATCATGTTTAGTATGATCAATATGTGTATACACCAAGTTTCATAATCCTTGCTTAACTGTGGCCAAAGTGGTGTTCTGAACATGAAAGAATAGATGCAAGGATAGACAAAGTAGCAATTATATGCTCAACTGAAAATATTTGGGGCAGAAAATAACTATTGTTGTTCTGAATGAAAACATGGGAGAGGTCATACTGTGGAAGAAAGCCAATAGAGTACCCGAGGAAACCAAAGAGATCTAATGTAACCCAATTTCTTTACACATCCCTTCAGGAAATTTTCCCCTGGTTGTCTTGGTGAAAAGGGAGACTACAGAATTATTTTATATATTCCTTACATATATAGCGACCATCACAATACTTTTATGTAAATATATGTCAAACACAAACTTACTTTTACAGGTTGGAACTTGTGCTGACCACTGACTGTTTGACTGACAAATGATGATTGCTTCACCAACAATCTCATACCCAAGATCACATTCATAGTACACAATGGTTCCATACTGTCGATCAGAACCCCTGGTGACATTTTCTGTTCCAGAAGAAAATGCTATTCTCCAAGGACAGACTGCACCTGAAAAATTAAAGTCAACATAAGCATATTTCTATTTTTTATGGCAAAAGCTAAATGCTGATACCAGGTAACATCATTTATGGTCAACAATGTAAGAACCACACATACACAAAGGAAATCACAATCATGGTAAGAACAGTTTTACCTTGACAGGTTGGTGATTTAGTCCACTGGCCTGATGAAGTACATGTGACAATCTCGCTGCCCACTAAGGTGAAGCCAGGATAGCATTGGTAGGTAGCAGAAGAGTTATAAGTGACACCATTACTTTTAGCAATATATCCATTAGATATAGCTGAAGGCATTCCACAGTAAACAGCTGAATATAGAATACAGTTCAATCAAATTACTGACAATATACCCACCCAATGTGAATACAAGAGCAAATCCTAATCAAATCTTACACCAGTTCAATAGAATTATCATGTTTATCATGTTAGGTTAACCCTAACCCTAAACGTTTACAGGTCTGTACAAACTATCTTGATAATTACAAATAGTTTACAGGTCTGTACAAACTATCTTGATAACTATAAAAAGTTTACAGGTCTGTACAAACTATCTTGATAATTATAAAAAGTTTACAGGTCTGTACAAATTATCTTGATAATTACAAATAGTTTACAGGTCTGTACAAACTATCTTGATAATTACAAATAGTTTACAGGTCTGTACAAACTATCTTGATAATTACAAATAGTTTACAGGTCTGTACAAACTATCTTGATAATTACAAATAGTTTACAGGTCTGTACAAACTATCTTGATAATTACAAATAGTTTACAGGTCTGTACAAACTATCTTGATAATTACAAATAGTTTACAGGTCTGTACAAACTATCTTGATAATTACAAATAGTTTACAGGTTTGTATGAACAAACTATGTCAGTTGACTTCATCTTATTTTAAAACCAAAATTCATGATCTTATCTTCAGTACATAAAACCAACCATAATTATTGCAATATCAACAAAATTCAACAAAACCAAAGAACTGCACAATTTTGTTTGAAACAGTCCATCACATGTTCTTGGCCAATCAAAATGCTCCTTTCAACACTTGATGACAAAGAAGCTCCATCCACTTTCCATTTAACTTGTTGACAGATTCAGGGCAGGATGCAAGTTGAGGTATTTAAAAAGGCTTAAAATGTTTCCCTGCATGGATTTTCTGTCTAAATTGTTGTTTATACTGATTCCTAGTGTACGTACAAAAAATCAGGTCTTTCTCAGAATGGTAAAGGTATTTAGTTATTAAAGTAGATTGATAAAAAAGCAAATATCACAGAGAGGAATCAATGAGAGATCATGACGGGAAATTTGTCCGAAGTTGTCAGTATTTTTCTTCCTATTGGAAATTGGGATTTACATATCATTCTCTAAAGAATTATCAAGTAGAGGTAGGTGATATGATTTCATTTAGCTGTGATATTATCAAGTGAAGTTTTCATTTTTCTCAACTTTCTGAAATTACCCACAACCTCACTTGAAGTGGAGCAATAGTGAATAAAATTGGTCACAAAGATCATCATACTCTCCATTTCACATTTTAACGAGACATTTTAGCATGTCGCTATAATATATTTCTCTAATGTTGATGTCAAACATCTGCCTCAACTGGAAAATGGCTGGTGTATTTTGGCTGGCCTTGCGTCAAAATTCATGAATATATAAGGGATTAGGTCATGAAAATTATCCAACTGAAAAACGTGTTACATACCCATTATTTTTAATGAAAATTACAAAACAATTTACAGGTGTGTCTTAACAAGCTATATTTATAATCAGATAGAGTAGAGTCAAATAATGAATTAAACTGCATCATACAGCTGTGTCGTCCTTCTAGGACTCAGTAGTGATGCTAAAGGCCTAAATTTTGAAGCTGCGGAGGTGATTGAGAAAATAGAAGATTAAAAACGAGGTAAAAATCAAAATGGGGAGATATAAACCAATATCATTAGTTACACAAAGTTGAACATTCTGATGTGTTTCCTTTCCACACTTACGCTGACAGTGAGGTATGTTTCCTAAGCTCCACATCCCTCTGAACTGGCACATTATTGAGTGTGAAGAAGAGCCATCCTGGAACTCCTGGTCAACAAATCTGTTTCCAGTCTTACATGAGACCTCCTCTACGTCTCTGTACCACCAGTTCTTAGAGCCTGACAGTGAGGTGTAGCTTTCCTCGATGTCAGGGTTAGGACAGTCTGTAAAAATGTCCTTTCAGGGTTAATACTTTAATGTACTTCAGATTGTATTCTAAACTCTAAAGTAACTGTGTCTGGTGTGTTAAACATTGTGTCTGGTGTGTTAAACATTGTGTCTGGTGTGTTAAACATTGTGTCTGGTGTGTTAAACATTGTGTCTGGTGTGTTAAACATTGTGTCTGGTGTGTTAAACATTGTGTCTGGTGTGTTAAACATTGTGTCTGGTGTGTTAAACATTGTGTCTGGTGTGTTAAACATTGTGTCTGGTGTGTTAAACATTGTGTCTGGTGTGTTAAACATTGTGTCTGGTGTGTTAAACATTGTGTCTGGTGTGTTAAACATTGTGTCTGGTGTGTTAAACATTGTGTCTGGTGTGTTAAACATTTTGTTCACATTCTGGAGCATGACATAACAGACCTGACTGACCAAAATTTACATGGCAGATGTAGTTGACAAAGTAGTAGACACTAATCTTCCTGGAACACCTAGTCTTATTATCTTTGTACTTTTTCAATGGTTTCCATGTAAATTTTTCTTAAGTCCATACATGTTTCAGTGATTTTGAATGTAAATTACAATTGTAACATTCTATTTAATATCTCAACATTTGGTACCAGTCACTAAAGATAAGTTGATACCAAACCAGGACTCAAACATTTCCTCAACACACAAAACCAGGGAACAGCCACTTCCTTCACATGTCTAACCAGGAAACAACCACTTCCTTCACATGTCTAACCAAAAAGCAGCCACTTCCTTCACATGTCTAACCAGAAAACAGCCACTTCCTTCACATGTCTAACCAGAAAACAACCACTTCCTACACATGTCTCACCAGGGAACAACCACTTCCTTCACATATCTAACCAGGAAACAGCCACTTCCTTCACATGTCTAACCAGAAAACAACCACTTCCTTCACATGTCTAACAAGGAAACAGCCACTTCCTTCACATGTCTAACAAGGAAACAGCCACTTCCTTCACATGTCTAACCAGGAAACAACCACTTCCTACACATGTCTCACCAGGGAACAACCACTTCCTTCACATGTCTAACCAGGAAACAGCCACTTCCTTCACATGTCTAACAAGGAAACAGCCACTTCCTTCACATGTCTAACAAGGAAACAGCCACTTCCTTCACATGTCTAACCAGAAAACAACCACTTCCTTCACATGTCTAACAAGGAAACAGCCACTTCCTTCACATGTCTAACCAGGAAACAGCCACTTCCTTCTCATGTCTAACCAGGAAACAACCACTTCCTTCACATGTCTAACCAGGAAACAACCACTTCCTTCACATGTCTAACAAGGAAACAGCCACTTCCTTCAGACATTAAACTAGGGAACAGCCACTTCCTTTACATGTCTAACCAGGAAACAGCCACTTCCTTAAAACATCAAACCAGGGAACAGCCACTTCCTTCACATGTCTAACCAGAAAACAACCACTTCCTTCACACATCAAAACCAGGGAACAGCCACTTCCTTCTCATGTCTAACCAGGAAACAACCACTTCCTTCTCATGTCTAACCAGGAAACAGCCACTTCCTTCTCATGTCTAATCAGGAAACAGCCACTTTCTTCACATGTCTAAGCAGGAAACAGCCACTTCCTTCACATGTCAAACCAGGAAACAGCCACTTCCTTCACATGTCTAACCAGGAAACAGCCACTTCCTTCACATGTCTAACCAGAAAACAACCACTTCCTTCACATGTCTAACCAGAAAACAACCACTTCCTTCACATGTCTAACCAGGAAACAGCCACTTCCTTCTCATGTCTTACCAGGAAACAACCACTTCCTTCAGACATTAAACCAGAAAACAGCCACTTCCTTCACATGTCTAACCAGAAAACAGTCACTTCCTTCACATGTCTAACCAGGAAACAGCCACTTCCTACACACAACAAAACCAGGAAACAACCACTTCCTTCACATGTCTAACCAGAAAACAGCCACTTCCTTCACATGTCTAACCAGGAAACAGCCACTTCCTTCACATGTCTAACCAGAAAACAGCCACTTCCTTCAGACATTAAACCAGAAAACAGCCACTTCCTTCACATGTCTAACCAGAAAACAGCCACTTCCTTCACATGTCTAACCAGAAAACAGCCACTTCCTTCACATGTCTAACCAGGAAACAGCCACTTCCTTCACATGTCTAACCAGGAAACAGCCACTTCCTTCACATGTCTAACCAGGAAACAGCCACTTCCTTCTCATGTCTAACCAGGAAACAGCCACTTCCTTCACATGTCTAACCAGGAAACAGCCACTTCCTTCACATGTCTAACCAGAAAACAGCCACTTCCTTCACATGTCTAACCAGGGAACAGCCACTTCCTATACACATCAAAACCAGGAAACAACCACTTACTTCACATGTCTAACCAGAAAACAACCACTTACTTCACATGTCTCACCAGAAAACAACCACTTCCTTCAGACACCAAACTTGGGCACAATTAATTACCTTTCTTGCTATCAGAAAATAAGTCACCTTAAACATAGTTTATTGTAGCTTAACTTACCTACAGAAAAGCGTGCAAGGAATCCCTTAGCTGAGCGTATGGCATTGGTAGTGAACCTGATGAACAGTTGGCCATTACTAGAATGTATAGGCGTGTTGAGAGGAAGGTTGGTACTACCAAATCCTTTTGGCATTGTGGTCATGTTATGGACACTGGTACCCATATCATCATTCTTGTCTACAAAAATCTAGTGAATACAAAAGTAAACATTTAAATAGTAAGTAGACTAGTACATGAGATATATCTAGTTACATCATAAAGTAGATGTCTTGTATCTATATATAGCTTGAGGTAAACATTTGAATGATGTCATGTATCTATATATAGCTTGAGGTAAACAGTTGTTATGTCTTGTATCTATATATAGCTTGAAGTAAACATTTGACAGATGTCATGTATCTATATATAGCTTGAGGTAAACATTTGGTAGATGTCATGTATCTATATATAGCTTGAAGTAAACAGTTGGTAGATGTCATGTATCTATATATAGCTTAAGGTAAACATTTGGTAGATGTCTTGTATCTATATATAGCTTGAGGTAAACATTTGACAGATGTCATGTATCTATATATAGCTTGAAGTAAACATTTGGTAGATGTCATGTATCTATATATAGCTTGTATCTATATATAGCTTGAGGTAAACAGATGTTAGATGTCATGTATCTATATATAGCTTGAGGTAAACATTTGGTAGATGTCATGTATCTATATATAGCTTGAGGTAAACATTTGACAGATGTCATGTATCTATATATAGCTTGAGGTAAACATTTGGTAGATGTCATGTATCTATATATAGCTTGAAGTAAACAGTTGTTAGATGTCATGTATCTATATATAGCTTGAGGTAAACATTTGACAGATGTCATGTATCTATATATAGCTTGAGGTAAACATTTGGTAGATGTCATGTATCTATATATAGCTTGAAGTAAACATTTGGTAGATGTCTTGTATCTATATATAGCTTGAGGTAAACATTTGACAGATGTCATGTATCTATATATAGCTTGAGGTAAACATTTGGTAGATGTCATGTATCTATATATAGCTTGAAGTAAACATTTGTTAGATGTCATGTATCTATATATAGCTTGAAGTAAACATTTGGTAGATGTCATGTATCTATATATAGCTTGAAGTAAACATTTGACAGATGTCATGTATCTATATATAGCTTGAGGTAAACATTTGGTAGATGTCATGTATCTATATATAGCTTGAGGTAAACAGATGTTAGATGTCATGTATCTATATATAGCTTGAGGTAACAGTTGGTAGATGTCCTGTATCTATATATAGCTTGAGGTAAACAGTTGTTAGATGTCATGTATCTATATATAGTGTGAGGTAAACATTTGGTAGATGTCATGTATCTATATATAGCTTGAGGTAAACAGTTGTTAGATGTCATGTATCTATATATAGCTTGATGTAAACATTTGGTAGATGTCATGTATCTATATATAGCTTGAGGTAAACAGTTGTTAGATGTCATGTATCTACATATAGCTTGAGGTAAACAGTTGGTAGATGTCCTGTATCTATATATAGCTTGAGGTAAACAGTTGTTAGATGTTCTGTATCTATATATAGCGTGAGGTAAACATTTGACAGATGTCTTGTATCTATATATAGCTCATGTATCTATATATAGCTTGAAGTAAACAGTTGGTAGATGTCATGTATCTACATATAGCTTGAGGTAAACAGTTGGTAGATGTCCTGTATCTATATATAGCTTGAGGTAAACAGTTGGTAGATGTCATGTATCTATATATAGCTTGAGGTAAACATTTGGTAGATGTCATGTATCTATATATAGCTTGAGGTAAACATTTGTTAGATGTCATGTATCTATATATAGCTTGAGGTAAACATTTGGTAGATGTCTTGTATCTATATATAGCTTGAGGTAAACATTTGGTAGATGTCATGTATCTATATATAGCTTGAGGTAAACAGTTGTTAGATGTCATGTATCTATATATAGCTTGAGGTAAACAGTTGTTAGATGTCATGTATCTATATATAGCTTGAGGTAAACAGTTGTTAGATGTCATGTATCTATATATAGCTTGAGGTAAACAGTTGTTAGATGTCATGTATCTATATATAGCTTGAGGTAAACATTTGACAGATGTCTTGTATCTATATATAGCTTGAGGTAAACAGATGTTAGATGTCATGTATCTATATATAGCTTGAGGTAAACAGTTGTTAGATGTCATGTATCTATATATAGCTTGAGGTAAACAGTTGTTAGATGTCATGTATCTATATATAGCGTGAGGTAAACAGTTGTTAGATGTCTTGTATCTATATATAGCTTGAGGTAAACAGTTGTTAGATGTCATGTATCTATATATAGCGTGAGGTAAACAGTTGTTAGATGTCTTGTATCTATATATAGCTTGAAGTAAACAGTTGGTAGATGTCATGTATCTATATATAGCTTGAGGTAAACATTTGGTAGATGTCATGTATCTATATATAGCTTGAGGTAAACATTTGGTAGATGTCATGTATCTATATATAGCTTGAGGTAAACAGTTGGTAGATGTCATGTATCTATATATAGCTTGAGGCAAACAGTTGTTAGATGTCATGTATCTATATATAGCCTGAGGTAAACATTTGGTAGATGTCTTGTATCTATATATAGCTTGAGGTAAACAGTTGTTAGATGTCATGTATCTATATATAGCTTGAGGTAAACATTTGACAGATGTCATGTATCTATATATAGCTTGAGGTAAACAGTTGTTAGATGTTCTGTATCTATATATAGCATGAGGTAAACATTTGACAGATGTCTTGTATCTATATATAGCTTGAGGTAAACAGTTGTTAGATGTCTTGTATCTATATATAGCTTGAGGTAAACAGTTGTTAGATGTCATGTATCTATATATAGCATGAGGTAAACAGTTGTTAGATGTCTTGTATCTATATATAGCTTGAGAAAAACAGTTGGTAGATGTCATGTATCTATATATAGCTTGAGGTAAACAGATGTTACATGTCTTGTATCTATATATAGCTAGAGGCAAACAGTTGTTAGATGTCATGTATCTATATATAGCTTGAGGTAAACATTTGGTAGATGTCATGTATCTATATATAGCTTGAGGTAAACAGTTGGTAGATGTCATGTATCTATATATAGCTTGAGGTAAACATTTGACAGATGTCATGTATCTATATATAGCTTGAAGTAAACAGTTGTTAGATGTCATGTATCTATATATAGCTTGAGGTAAACATTTGACAGATGTCATGTTTCTATATATAGCTTGAGGTAAACAGTTGTTATGTCTTGTATCTATATATAGCTTGAAGTAAACATTTGACAGATGTCATGTATCTATATATAGCTTGAAGTAAACAGTTGGTAGATGTCATGTATCTATATATAGCTTGAGGTAAACATTTGGTAGATGTCATGTATCTATATATAGCTTGAAGTAAACAGTTGGTAGATGTCATTTATCTATATATAGCTTAAGGTAAACATTTGGTAGATGTCTTGTATCTATATATAGCTTGAAGTAAACAGTTGGTAGATGTCATGTATCTATATATAGCTTGAGGTAAACATTTGGTAGATGTCTTGTATCTATATATAGCTTGAGGTAAACAGTTGGTAGATGTCTTGTATCTATATATAGCGTGAGGTAAACATTTGACAGATGTCATGTATCTATATATAGCTTGAGGTAAACATTTGACAGATGTCATGTATCTATATATAGCTTGAGGCAAACAGTTGTTAGATGTCATGTATCTATATATAGCTTGAGGTAAACAGTTGGTAGATGTCATGTATCTATATATTAGCTTGAGGTAAACAGTTGGTAGATGTCATGTATCTATATATAGCTTGAGGTAAACAGTTGGTAGATGTCTTGTATCTATATATAGCTTGAGGTAAACATTTGACAGATGTCATGTATCTATATATAGCTTATAAACAGATGTTAGATGTCATGTATCTATATATAGCTTTAGGTAAACAGTTGTTAGATGTCATGTATCTATATATAGCTTGAGGTAAACAGTTGGTAGATAGTCTGTATCCATACAGAGCTTGAGGTAAACATGGTAGATATTAGGGGTCACCATCACACACCTCCAGAAAATCATCACTGCCTAATTCTGATGCTGATTCAAGGAAGAGCGTCACTCCTCGATTATCAACTGGTGAACTAATCGACCAGGTGCATGTCTGGAAGTTTGCATAGTTCAATCCATACAGAAATCCGGGTGAGAATACTTCACCATATTCACTGTTCATAGAGACATCACAACCTGCAAGAAAGGATAAACTCATCTAACTGGCAATTTTTGTGTTATACAAACATGATTGAAGTAATTATAAAGTTATCTCATAGAAAACAGGACCTGACATCATGTAATTATTATCTTTATGTAAAGAATTTGGAATAGTATCCATGCATTTCATAGCAGTATCTCAAAGTTCAAAATGAAGCTTAACTTATAAATCATAAGGTCAACCTGTCAGACACTAAATATGAAGGTTAAAGGTCAGCTTTCTTATCACAAGGTCACCTTGCCAGATACTGAATCTGCTGGTTAAAGATAAATCTATGTATAACAAGATCACATTGTCAGATACTGACCATGGAGATCAAAGGTCAACTTATATTTCACAAACACACCTTGCCAGATACTGAATCTGAAGCCTACACCTGACACAGCATACTTGGTGCTGAGGATAATGTACAGCTGGTGGTCTGTGGAGAACACAAACTGTGGTCCACCTGTGATGGAGTCTGATCCAGGCAAATCTGTGACGCCATCATTGTTTTTGTGGGTATACATAGCCAGCATTGCTCCAGTAACAGAGTTTCCATCTCGGATTGTCAGGGTGTCGCCCATCCGCAGGTCAATTATGTCCCTCTGTGGTTCAAACATTTTTTATCTTTTAACTAAATTAACACTTATTTTTATCTTTTAAGAAAGCTAACATATTTCCCTGTTCCCTGTGATTTTCTGGGATCTGATAAGAAACTCTCATTGCTATTACCTTCCATTACAAATTGTACTAACTTTATAATTCAATATAAACACCCAATCAGAGACAAGTATCTATTACATATTCAACTTGTTTTCTGGTGAACCTTGTACCTGTTCATATTTTTGCATAATGTCTCTAGTGTAATATATACTGGAGCTTTTCTCACTCACTGTCTCAGTCTGAAATTGATTGTAATGTCATGACAGTCTGAAATTGATTGTAATGTCAATTATACACCCTCTGAGGGTCACTGTGACCTAAATATAATCAACTTTACACCCTCTGAGGGTTAGTGACCTATATACAAGAAACTATACACCCTATGAGGGTTAGTGACCTATATACAAGAACCTATACACCTTCTGAGGGTCAATGACCTAAATACAATAAACTATACACCCTCTGAGGGTCACTGTGACCTAAATACAATCAATTATACACCCTCTGAGGGTCACTGTGACCTAAATATAATCAACTTTACACCCTCTGAGGGTCAATGACCTAAATACAATAAACACAACACCCTTTGAGGGTCGCTGTGACCTAAATACAATAAACTATACACCCTCTGAGGGTTAGTGACCTAAATACAAGAAACTATACACCTACTGAGGGCTACAGTGACCTAGATACAATAAACTGTACACCCTTTGAGGGTCACTGTGACCTAAATACAGTAAACTGTACACCCTCTGTAAGTCTTTTTAGGTCACACTACACTATGTTGATACCTTGATAGTGATGATCTTCCTCCTCTCAGCAGCAGTGACCACCCACACTGTGTCTGTGCTGCTGAGCCTTGACGTGCCGATGTCGGAGGAGAACTGAGGTGGTACCAAAGATTTTACAGATCTTTCTGCCTTCACTTCGTTCACCTCTGGCAGACCATCACAAACTGTATGAATGATAAAGCAAGTCAATCACTGTTGAAGTCTCAGGACAGAGAAAAATATGTCAATATTATACTGTATTAAGCTTAAAATCACACATTTAGAAACAAGTACTTCAAAAACAGTTAATTCTATATTTTCTAATATTTATTGCTATGGCAACCATAAAATGTAAAAGAAGACATATCCAATCAGCAAAGGGCAAACAATTAAGAGAACAAGTCTGGCAGGTATTGAAAACTTCAGGAGATAAATGAAATGGATTTTGAGTTGAAACCTCGAAGATATATCACAGCTGACACTTGACTGGAAACAATTTCCCATGAAAAGAAAAAGTCTTATAGAGCTGAGAGTACAAAATCAAGTTAGTAATATTTCACTTGTTCATTTTATAGATAATGATCCATAAAGCTGATTTTGTTGTTGTCACATTTGTAACAAAGCACTCTGATATTTGTGAATATAATTGTCTATGAAATTATCAGGTGAGGTAGATCTACTCAAAATAAGGAAGAATTGGTTGTGAATCTGATAAAATTTATACATACAGCTTGTGAAGTTAGCACTAAATCCTTGTCTCTGTACATCCTTATCAGACCGGAACCTCACGATCATGTATCGGTTGTGGCTGCGATACTGAGCAGTGGCCACGGAGCCTGATAGACTGCCACGGTACATGGAGGTTCTCTCTGTCATCCCTCCTACCAAAATATCAACAACGTCCTGGTTCTTCTCAGTGTCAAAGGCATTGAACTGAAATCAAAAGCACTAATAAAATGCCAAATGTCCTCATTTACTAAAACTTTATTTCACTATTCAAAGTTGCTTTCATTCCAATCAAGCAGATTTGCAAGGGATTAAGTGGAAGATTTGGAGCATGCTAAACATCTAGTTTCCAAGTTAAAATCAAGTCAGAGATTTGGAGCATGCTAAAATTCTAGTTTCCAAGTTAAAATCAAGTCAGAGATTTGGAGCATGCTAAAATTCTAGTTTCCAAGTAAAAATCAAGTCAGAGATTTGGAGCATGCTAAAATTCTAGTTTCCAAGTAAAAATCAAGTCAGAGATTTGGAGCATGCTAAACTTCTCGTTTCCAAGATAACTGTTCACTGTAACTGTCTTAATTATCAAAGCTACTACTCTTTTGCTCTGCTTTATTTCACCAAGAGGAATAGGTGTCATACTGAACGGTAAAAATCAACTTCTAGGAGACTTGTTAAGTGGAACAAATTGAAACATAGTTCAGGCTAACTGGCAAGAAGACACGATAAGCGAAACAAAGTTGGACGAAGGTCACACTAACCTTCAGGAAGACACCCGGTCTTGGTTGCTCAAATGTTAGTTCGAATTAACCAGTGGGTTAGCCCAAAAAAAAGGAATTTCAATCAGGTCTTCCTCTAAAAAATTACAGCTATGAAATTATAAAGAATGTTTACAATTATATTTGATTTATATTTGAAAATTTTCACTAACCAGTGGTTATCTCAAACCAGCCTTTGAACGACCAGGGCCTGAAGTGGAACAAAGTGAGACAAAGGTCACACTTTACTTAAGGAAGACATACTAAGTGGAACAAAATGAGACAGAAGTCACACGAGAGTTAAGGAAGACATTTTGGAACTAAGGTCAGGCAAAATATCAGGAAGACTGGTTAAGTGAAGCAAAGGTTACATTAATGTTATAGAAGACATGTTAAAAGGACAAACTTCACACAAAATCTCAGAGTGAAAGGTTGAACAAAGTGGGAGAAGGGTGACACGAACCTTCAGAAAGACACATTGTGAGACATAGTGGTACAAAGTGCAAACTATGTCCAGGAAGAAACGTTAAGTCGACAAAGGTGACACTAATGTTCAGGAAGATGTATATTGGAATAAAGGTCACACCAAATTCAGGAAGACAGGTTAAGTGGGTCAAACCATACTTGCCTTCAGTAAAAGACTTACTTAGTGGGACAAATGTTTTTGCTTCAGGACAGTGTTAAATGAAACAAAGTTCATCCTCACCTTGAGGAAGACATTACACCCCTCCGTTCCTATAATGGTCCACATACAGGAGCTGTACGGCGCATACAGACCTGGGTAGTTTGGTGTCTGTATTGTACTAGAGGATGCCTCAATTTGATACATGCACTTGCTGACTGAAATAGGAAAATCCAAACAATGTCAAGATTCATGCTGATGGCCATGGTCTGTTAAATGTTTAAGGACTGTTTTAGGTCTTTCAATTATTTCAAACTTGTTACATTTACACAAAGTATACTTAAGACTTACAACAATCTGCTTCATCTGAGTTGTCTCCACAGTCGTCAAAGCCATCACACTTCCATTTCTGATTGACACAGCCTCCATTCAAACAGTGGAAAGTATCTAAACATAGACACCTCTACTAGGTCAGATCAAAGAAATATTTACAAAAGAAAATTATCGAACAAAAAAATCTCAATTTTCAAAAAAGAATGTAAATATCAAATAAATATCTATGAAAATCCTCAATTAAGTTCAGCAACAGCTTCTCTCTTCAGCTTTTCCCCAAAGCTCAGATCCTCCCAAACCTCAGGCTCTCCCCATAGGTCAGATCCACCCCAAACCTCAGGCTCTCCCCAAAACATAGATCCTCCCCAAACCTCAGGCTCTCCCAATAGCTCAGATCCTCTCCAAACCTTAGGCTCTCACCACAGCTCAGATCCTCCCAAAACCTCAGGCTCTCCCCAAAGATCAGATCCTCCCCAAACTTCAGGCTCTCCCCAAAGAACAGATCCACCCCAACCCTCAGGCTCTCCCCAAAGAACAGATTCACCCCAACCCTCAGGCTCTCCCCATAGGTCAGATCCACCCCAAACCTCAGGCTCTCCCCAAAGATCAGATCCTCCCCAAACCTCAGGCTCTCCCCAAAGATCAGATCCTCCCCAAACCTCAGGCTCTCCCCAAAGATCAGATCCTCCCCAAACCTCAGGCTCTCCCCAGAGATCAGATCCTCCCCAAACTTCAGGCTCTCCCCAAAGAACAGATCCACCCCAACCCTCAGGCTCTCCCCATAGGTCAGATCCACCCCAAACCTCAGGCTCTCCCCAAAGATCAGATCCTCCCCAAACCTCAGGCTCTCCCCAAAGATCAGATCCTCCCCAAACCTCAGGCTCTCCCCAAAGCAAGGATCCACCCCAAAGCTCAGATCCACCACAAAGTTCAGTTTTCCCCAAAATCTCATATTCACCAAAAAGCTCAGGTTCATCCTATAGTTCATGTTTACCCCAAAGCTCAGGATCACCCCTAAGCTCATGTTCACCCCAAAGCTTATGTTCATCCCAAAGCTCATGTTCACCCAAAACTCAGGTTCACCACTAAGCTCATATTCTCCCCAAAGCTCAGATTCTCCCTTAAGTTAGCAACAATATATTGTACATACTTGTTGGACAAGACATCCTCTCACAGACATATGCCATTTGTTGGTCACAATTTCCAAGATTGTCTGCGAATTCTTTTCCATCTTTGGTGATGTAAGTACAGTCCCCAGCAGAGACCAGTGGATTTCCGACATTCCATAAACCCTCATATAAAGAAGCAGCTTTGTTGTTCCATTTTGCTGCATATTTATCTGAATCTAGTATACTCAACCTGTTTAAACCTATAAAATCATCTTTATTAAACTGAATATCAAACTCTGATTTCAATAGAATACTACAGACAATAACAGTGTAATACACAAAACAAGAATTACAGGTAATTACATGTCTCGCCAGTCCTCCAAAATACACTAAAATTTACATCCTCCCCCTTCTTCCTCCCAAAGAAATAATGAATTTCCGAGTCAAATTTAATTAATAATATGTAAACACAATACATATGTTTATTTCTCACGTCAAAATAATGATGAATTGTAAAACATGAAATTAAGATTATGATGAAGTCTTCACTTCTCAAAATTCACTTAAATATGGCATTTAACCCAAAAAATATTCTTCCTTGAAAGGAAGAGAAATCTTACAATGTGATATAGTACAGTACAATGTACTTGTTTCAATATGACTATAAACTAAATCTGAAATGAGTAGAACAACCTATAAAAACTTCAGAGTCATTTCACAAGTTTTTGTCTTCTCAGCATCCATAATTTTGCTGGACTGTAAAATTTTGTACATGATGGACACGCATCGAGATGTCACCTATGAGCAATAGATCTAAGCACAATAACTTTAATGTGAAATTATTTCATTGACATGGCAGCTCAAAGCTTTAATGTGAAATCATTTCATTGACATGGCAGTGCAAAACTTTAATGTGAAATCATTTCATTGACATGGCAGTGCAAACTCTTTGAAGTGAAATCATTTCATTGACATGGCAGTGCAACATCTTTAATGTGAAATCATTTCATTGACATGGCAGCTCAAAGCTTTAATGTGAAATCATTTCATTGACATGGCAGTGCAACATCTTTAATGTGAAATCATTTCATTGACATGGCAGCTCAAAGCTTTAATGTGAAATCATTTCATTGACATGGCAGTGCAACATCTTTAATGTGAAATCATTTCATTGACATGGCAGTGCAACATCTTTAATGTGAAATCATTTCATTGACATGGCAGTGCAAAACTTTAATGTGAAATCATTTTAAGGCAGAAAGTAACAATATTATAGTCTCATTTCCGTGACAAAAATGCCTGACAATGTTTACCTGTCCAAAACATCTGTACACCATTGTCACTGACAAAGTTTCCCACCTTAGTTCTTACATCATAGTCCTTAATCTCCACGAGGCGGGATCCATACCTGCACAAAAATTACATACTCCTATATATATACATAGGCACTCATATATCAGAGGAAAGCATTAAATAGGAGATGTGATGGCTATTTTTGTACCAATTTCTGTTAAGTTGTAAAACAAATTGAAGATTTTTTTAATAATGACACTTCTGATTAAACCTTGTTTTAGGACACAAATAAGTAAACACTTTATTTTGAGAAGGATGAAATCTCTCACCCTTGACATGTAGATGATGCTCTCTTCCAATTTTGCTTTACAGTGGGTGCAGAACCAAACACTTTGTAACATTTTGAGCCAAGATTGGTCCAACCTGTAAAAAGAAATAACGCTTTCATATTGAGTTGACCTGCCTCTGAAATACTATTACAACTTACAACTTTGACACAACAATATGTACTTTGCATATCGTTATTGTCTTTTAAATGCTTCATTAACCAGATGTAAAAAATGTCCATATTTATTTCAAAGCCTCCACCAGGGAAGGAACCGAGACTTCTGGCTCACTAGCCTTACACTTAAATCATCGAGTTTAAGAGAAGTTCTCTCTAGCTGAGCAGTATCCAAATCCATGACTGTAGCTATTGCTAGGACTATACATATACTTCCTACCCTCAAACCCCAAACCAGACAAAAACTTATGAAGCAAAGCTAAAAATCATTCCAACATTTCTACATTGGTGTTCATGTAACAGAGATTATCATTTATTTTGATGCTGCCACATGAGATTGAACTTGGGATGTCTGGGTTAGGGCCTGCTACACATTCTCAGCTAAAGTTCTGGCTAGTAATTAGTACAGTAATACATATAAAGCTTATACGTATATATAGGGTATACAATAGGCCTATTCCATACAGCCATGATAAATGTGAATGTCAATACAAGCACAGCATTCTGACATTCTGTAAATGATATATCTAGGGGCTATTTATACCCAGGTAGATGCTATGTTTACTGGGATTATTGTATATTCTCACTGATAGAATATTATAGTGCAGTGGGATTGGTTTTCACGTCTGCATTTTCATTCTGAATTTGTCTACATCTGTACTTCTCGTTGTTGAACCGTAATCTCGCGATATTCAGAAAGTATCGCTATGCAAATGATAATTACAGGTCATTATTTACTGCCTGTTCTGACTCAGATCTTGTGACAGAGATTATTTCCCGTCAGGTGCATTCAATCTAGGCTTCTGATTGCATGTAGATACAAAATTGTGCACTCAGGGTATATAACAGTATTTGCTGGTACGTTCAGCACTATTACGATTGAAATTGTGAGCTGACAGTCACATATTTTCTTCTCTTTTTGGATTGAGTGGGTTAATTTACCTGTTAAGTTCAATGGGGAATTATTAGGATTTAGTGGTAAGAGGGTCAGGGGTTGTCTCAAAGGTTGCTAATGTGTTAGTGTCAATTCTACACGCTTGTTGTTGCCGCTGTGGTGGACATCTGTTCTAATGTTGTTTCTCTTTGTTGTCATTTCTTGTTATTGTTCATAAATATACCTTAACTGTCTATATGTCTGTGCTCATAATTTCCTCCAGCAAATAGTTCAACAACAACTCAATTCGAACCTGGGTTTGTCAGTAACAGTTCTGGACACACTACGCAGAGTGGGTGTGCACATAGGTACACCCCTCCCGTTACAAGAGTATAGCTTGCTAGATGCTTTGTTTACAGGGATTAGGATATATTCTTACTGATAAAATATTATAGTATAGGTGCTATTACTGATAGATTATTTAAGTATAACTTCAGGGAATTTTTTTTAAGAGATTTTCAATTTTTTTTTATATAATAACATATAAAGTATTGAGGTTATCTTTATTGTGATTATTATATAAGTATACTCTTACTGGCAGAATATTAGCGAATATTTTACAGTGATTATAAATACATTTTTACCTGTAGAATATTAAAATACAGAGGGTATTTTTCAAGGATTATCACACTTTAAAGGTGATTCAAGCTAAACGTTAATAACGTTACAAGTGAATTGTACCAGTAAAATTCTCCAATACTTACCACTCTGGCACGTGTAAGTTATCTCCTCCTGAAAGTGAAAGAAAACATGAGGCTTTAGTAATAAAACAACTAAGAACAAGTGAGAAGTTGATCAGTGGCGATGTTGACAATGCTTTCATTTTGTCCTCGGTTTACAATTAAAAAGCGAATTGGTATAATATCCGGAAAATAATACCGAAATCCTCATTTGAAGAGGAAATCAAATATCACAAGTAAGCTACACACAAATAACGCAGTTAGGGGACGAGGAAATCAAGTACGCTAACCACAAATAACGCAGTTAGGGGGCGAGGAAATCAAATATCACAAGTACGCTACCCACAAATAACGCAGTTAGGGGGCGAGGAAATCAAATATCACAAGTACGCTACCCACAAATAACGCAGTTAGGGGACGAGGAAATCATACATCGCAAGTACGCTACCCACAAATAACGCAGTTAGGGGGCGAGGAAATCAAATATCGCAAGTACGCTAACCACAAATAACGCAGTTAGGGGACGAGGAAAGCATACATCGCAAGTACGCTACCCACAAATAACGCAGTTAGGGGGCGAGGAAATCAAATATCACAAGTACGCTACCCGCAAATAACGCAGTTAGGGGACGAGGAAATCATACATCGCAAGTACGCTACCCACAAATAACTCAGTTAGGGGGCGAGGAAATCATACATCGCAAGTACGCTACCCACAAATAACGCAGTTAGGGGGCGAGGAAATCAAGTACGCTACCCACTAATAATGCGAGGAAATCATACATCGCAAGTACGCTACCCACAAATAACGCAGTTAGGGGGCGAGGAAATCAAATATCGCAAGTACGCTACCCACAAATAACGCAGTTAGGGGACGAGGAAAGCATATATCGCAAGTACGCTACCCACAAATAACGCAGTTAGGGGGCGAGGAAATCAAATATCGCAAGTACGCTACCCACAAATAACGCAGTTAGGGGGCGAGGAAATCATACATCGCAAGTACGCTACCCACAAATAACTCAGTTAGGGGGCGAGGAAATCATACATCGCAAGTACGCTACCCACAAATAACGCAGTTAGGGGGCGAGGAAATCAAGTACGCTACCCACTAATAATGCAGTTAGGGGACGAGGAAAGCATACATCACAAGTACGCTACCCACAAATAACGCAGTTAGGGGACGAGGAAATCATACATCGCAAGTACGCTACCCACAAATAACGCAGTTAGGGGGCGAGGAAATCAAGTACGCTACCCACTAATAACGCAGTTAGGGGACGAGGAAAGCATACATCGCAAGTACGCTACACACAAATGACGCAGTTTGGAAGGCGAGGAAAACAAATATCACAAGATCCATGTCCAAATCGTAACCCTCCGGCACCTTCCGTTTCGGTGACGATGAAAGTGTTGGAAGTCACCGAGTTATTTTATTATTAATTGTTGATTGAAATTGTTTTCTTTTTTGTTATGTTTTGTTTTTGTTTTTTTCAACATAATGCGTATGACAGTGTGTCTATTTGAATTTCTGCGACTTTTTTTTATACCAACATGAAAACTTCAAGACATTTTGTCGGTCGACACATTTTTGTTTTTTACTTCTGTATTTGATATGACCGCAGACCAAGATATCTATATCGCATTACAGAGTTCACGCCGACAGAATACAGATATGCATCGGTGAGACTTCACCAATAGTCATATAGATGTGAAACCCGCAATCAGTCAACTATCTATCTGGTGTGTCAGATCCCTAGTATAGAAACAAACAATCTCACGGGAAAATTGTTTTGTAAATGGACTGATTTAGATTAGGGTGCGTCAGGTCTTTAGTATAATTGTTTACATTAAAAGACATTTTTACTGATGAATTTAACAGTCAAGGCACAGGGCGTGATGGTTTTCCATTATGACGCTCATGATTCTTAACACAATGTTGAAAATACAAAACGCAATATTTTAACACTTAAACTGAATTTCCGTACTTTACAGGGTGGGCGTGACAGATTTGTCATCAATTGAACTGTGTTGTGTCTAGAGCCCAAGTAAAACAAAATATGTAGGTATCTGGTTTTGTCCAGAACCGCAAAAAGAGTGATCCACATAATTCGAAAACCAGAATTAAAATTAATCGATCAAATTATCAACTAGTCAGAATTTATAATGAGCAGGATACATCGACAACCAGTCTGAAGTATTGTTACTACATACATCGACAACCAATCAGAATTAGTGTTAATACACACATCGACAACCAGTCAGAATTAGTGTTACTACATACATCGACAACCAATCAGAATTAGTGTTACTACATATGTCGACAACCAATCAGAATTGGTGTTACTACATATGTCGACTACCAATCAGAATTGGTGTTACTACATATGTCGACTACCAATCAGAATTGGTGTTACTTCATATGTCGACTACCAATCAGAATTAGTGTTACTACATATGTCGACTACCAATCAGAATTAGTGTTACTTCATATGTCGACTACCAATCAGAATTGGTGTTACTACATATGTCGACAACCAATCAGAATTAGTGTTACTACATATGTCGACAACCAATCAGAATTAGTGTTACTACATACATCGACAACCAATCAGAATTAGTGTTACTACATATGTCGACTACCAATCAGAATTAGTGTTACTTCATATGTCGACAACCAGTCAGAATTAGTGTTACTACATACATCGACAACCAGTCAGAATTAGTGTTACTACATATGTCGACAACCAATCAGAATTAGTGTTACTACATACATCGACAACCAATCAGAATTAGTGTTACTACATATGTCGACAACCAGTCAGAATTAGTGTTACTACATATGTCGACAACCAGTCAGAATTAGTGTTACTTCATATGTCGACAACCAGTCAGAATTAGTGTTACTTAATATGTCGTAAACCAATCAGAATTAGTGTTACTACATACATCGACAACCAGTCAAAATTAGTGTTACTACATATGTCGACAATCTCGACAACCAGTCAGAATTAGTGTTACTACATATGTCGACTACCAATCAGAATTAGTGTTACTTCATATGTCGACAACCAGTCAGAATTAGTGTTACTACATACATCGACAACCAGTCAAAATTAGTGTTACTACATATGTCGACAATCAGTCAGAATTAGTGTTACTACATACATCGACAACCAATCAGAATTAGTGTTACTACATATGTCGACAACCAGTCAGAATTAGTGTTACTACATATGTCGACAACCAGTCAGAATTAGTGTTACTTCATATGTCGACAACCAGTCAGAATTAGTGTTACTTAATATGTCGTAAACCAATCAGAATTAGTGTTACTACATATGTCGACAACCAGTCAGAATTAGTGTTACTTCATATGTCGACAACCAGTCAGAATTAGTGTTACTTAATATGTCGTAAACCAATCAGAATTAGTGTTACTACATACATCGACAACCAGTCAGAATTAGTGTTACTACATATGTCGACAATCAGTCAGAATTAGTGTTACTACATACATCGACAACCAATCAGAATTAGTGTTACTACATACATCGACAACCAATCAGAATTAGTGTTACTACATATGTCGACTACCAATCAGAATTAGTGTTACTTCATATGTCGACACCCAGTCAGAATTAGTGTTACTACATACATCGACAACCAGTCAGAATTAGTGTTCCTACATATGTCGACAATCAGTCAGAATTAGTGTTACTACATACATCGACAACCAGTCAGAATTAGTGTTACTACATACATCGACAACCAGTCAGAATTAGTGTTACTACATATGTCGACAACCAGTCAGAATTAATGTTACTTCATATGTCGACAACCAGTCAGAATTAGTGTTACTACATATGTCGACAATCAGTCAGAATTAGTGTTACTACATACATCGACAACCAGTCAGAATTAGTGTTACTACATATGTCGACTACCAATCAGAATTAGTGTTACTTCATATATCGACAACCAGTCAGAATTAGTGTTACTAAATATGTCGACTACCAATCAGAATTAGTGTTACTACATACATCGACAACCAGTCAGAATTAGTGTTACTACATTTGTCGACTACCAATCAGAATTAGTGTTACTACATACATCGACAACCAGTCAGAATTAGTGTTACTACATTTGTCGACTACCAATCAGAATTAGTGTTACTTCATATGTCGACAACCAGTCAGAATTATTATGGATCTTACTTTCATGACGAATTATAATCGACACTGATCGATCAATATTGATATTTTGTCACCTTAATCGTTGATCTAGAGATGTTTACAATCAATATCTATTGAGAAAAAGATCAATTTTGTAAACACAATAGACTTTTTTATATTTCGTGTTTGATCTGTCTGTATATATGTACGTATATAGTTGGTGTTATTATATTGTCGTGATAGGGTAGCTAAGGTCAGACGGTCTGTAGCCACTGGACAATGACAAGGTTAAATGAGTTGTCCTGAGTGACGGTACAATGCAGTAACAAATGGAGATTCGGTTTCCAATCACATCGAGGTTTGTGTAAACAACGAGTCTGAAAGGGTTATTGTCACACCTGTCTGTCTTAATAACGTCTTTGTCTGACACATCGGAAACAGTAACCAGATACCCGCGCACGTCCTCAGAGGTCGGATACAGTCACAAGCTACCCTGCCTCCCCTCCAAAGGTCTGATACTGTCAGTAGATCTCCTGCACATTATCTTAGATCGGGTACATTCTCTCTAGATAACACCGCAATTAGACTTAAGCCGGATACAGTCACTAGGTATACAATCACCAGATATCACATGCACGCTTTTAGGTCGGAAACAGTCACAATATTCTCATACACACCTTCCTCTTAGGTAGGACACAGCCACTAGATATTCTCATACACACCTTCCCCTTAGGTAGGACACAATACTAGATATTCTCATACACACCTTCCCGTTAGGTAGGACACAATAACTAGATATTATCATACACACCTTCCCCTTAGGTAGGACAAAATCACTAGATATTCTCACACACACCTTCCCCTTAGGTAGGACAAA